CGTCGTATGCTCTTGAGTCGTCTCAGGAGTGGCGTTATCCAAGCGCATCCGCCTATCTAGATCGTGGGAACACGTGGTCTACTGAATGCTCCAAAATTTCACGTTCCTCTGGTCGTACTAGCTTCTTTCCTACAAGTCAAGGTCAATCAAACTTGATTTGTCACATTCACATACATTAATTCCATATTGGTTATGATATAGGCGCAGCCTATGCGTGCTCAATAATGATCATATAAATAAATGTGCCTCGAAGGACGACGTTTAAAGGCAAATTTCGGGCTCAGACCCACTTAATGAGCCTTTACAGTGGCTAGAAGCGCTAGGTAAGCAACTGTAGGGGTCGCGTCACTTCCTTACCGAAAACCGTTATTTAGACGCTAGGCGCTAAGAACTTTGACACACTCCACCTGCTGCGACACGCCCCGCCCACCGCTCGATATCTTGTCTGCGTCGGAATGTTGATCTGCTATGCTCTCTCTACTTAGACTTCTCTAGTGCTCTCTGCGCCCACATTATCTCTCATTTCTCTGCCGGCCTTTTGAACTTCTCCGCACCGTAGAGGAAATGGCTCCTATTTCCTAAGCATTTCACGATTTCTGTTTCTCTTTTCTGCACTGGCGGTCCAATAGCTACCCTACCTTCACATTTGAGGAGAATTACCTCATAATTCAGTCCTGAATCTTGCCTTCAAGCACGCGTCTACACGCGCACTCGTCTACATATGTACAAACAGCTTGATGTGTTAGGGGCAAGGATAGGGATCAGCCTCACTAAAGAAGTCCCTGCCATGGATGAAAGTGCTAGGTCAACCACGTCGGTGGCTATACCACTTTCGCGCCTCTAAACGCATCACTAAAACGTTAGGCGCTCAAGGCCTTGACCATCGTTCGCCTGGTATGGTCAGTACCAGCCCTCCGTTCTGTATATTATCTGTGTGAGTTGGCCGGCTATGCTGTCGCGACACGGACTTCTTTACCCTCACTGCAACTGGCATTATCTCTTACCCCACTGTCTGCTCCTTAGACTTCTTCGCAGCCCAGAGCAAAGAAATCCGTTTTTCCTATATTTTTGACGATTTTTTTCCTCCTCTCCACTTGCAGTTCACTTCACATCCCTGGTTTCATATTCGAGGGAGAGTATCACAGCATCTTGTTCCTGATCATTGCCCCTAGGCGATTTGCTGCGATATATTGGCTACCCAGTGGCAGTGACGAAATGCGAAATTCACGAAGAAGCGAATGCTGGGTTGTGATGTAACTTCTGGGAGCTGAGTCATTCGTCGGGTACAGAATCCCTTCGACCAATGCACGCAACAAGTTGCAAAGATCACCCAGCGAGGAATCGACGACCTGTTCTGAGGATTTTCGTCATCTCCACTCTACCGTGCGCTACAAAATATGCTGTCAGTGCTGTAGTTCTGAAGAGCTCCGAGAATCGACCTAAGATGGCCGTTTTCTTCGACGCACAGTTTTTCCAACTCTCAGGAAGAATATTAGTCCCTTGATTGGGAAATGACGTGACGTGACAGTGCGATCATAAGAATATCCTATTGTGAGCGTGAAACAAATGTTGTTTTGACATTACCACTTAACATTTATCTCCAATGGGACCTTCATGTTGCAAGACACAATAGGAACGTGAACTTGTTTGACTTGCGTACGCTATCGCCTGTGCGTATTACGTTCTGAACCTCTGCTTGAAGGGCTGCTGAAAAAAATTCACTGAGATGTAAGTGAAGCGTAATATCATTTTTGACTGTCGCAGTGTTCTCACAACAAGCGCTTGCCATTTTTGTGGCCACGGGGTAAGAAACTGGCTTCTGCAGCAAGCTCACCATTCGCTAAAGAGTTAAACCTCATCAACGAGAACATCTGCTTTTTTTACCTGATGCTATCCATCGTTTTTGCTACTTGTTTTCGGCTTTAGGAAAAACACGGACTACAGCTAAAGCACCACTAACCTTAAAACATGCTTAGACTATCGTTGGCATTTTTTGTTTTCTATTTACACTAAAAAAATGCGGCTCTTGCCTGATATTTTCGATTGTCTCAAGAGTCTGCGGAGGTTCTTATTCGTGGTGTATTCGAGGGTTTCTCTTGCTTTCTTTTTCTTCTCCTGACGACATCTCACCTCCAGCTTCATTACTGGACGCTCTAAAACACCCATTCTATCCGGGGCTTCACTATAAAGTGCAAATCGTCACGCATTTCGCAACGAAAATAACGTCCTGGCCTCCCCGCGCCCCTAGCGCCGCGGCACGCCCACCTTCTCGCCGTGTGAGCGTCAGCTGTTTAACAGGGATCGTTGGCGTCGAAGGGCAGCACTTACCATAGTCAGATGAATGCGGAAATCAAATCGCAAATAAGGAATCCAGTTTTGTGTTGGGCCGTTTCTCATGTTCTTTCATTGCTGCTGACTATCTGTAACTTGATGTGAAGGGGTGTCTTCCCATTGAAAACTTGGTCATATTTAGCAAAACAGATGATTTCTTCTGCCAATATAGCCCTCCATCCCGGTTATATTTGAACTTTAATTTGAAGTGCAAGCTTCACACATCTTGGTGCACACTTTGGTATACTATACTGATTTTGCAACAATGTTCTGTCGTGAAGCGGAATCACGGACATCGGATGTGAACTCCATTTGCCTTTCTACGCAATGTGAGTTTTGACTCGGCTTCGCCGGAACTGTTTAGCACCACAGTAAGCTTTCACCAACTTTTGAAGGTGATCAGTTAGCGGTCTCAGAACTGAATAGCAGATCTTAGTTTCGAGCGCCGTCTTCTGCTCTTTCGTAATGTGATTCGCACATCTTTATCCATGCGAGATGCCCCTACAGCCCTCCTTGTTTTTTTCCCATGACGCACCTTTGTAGTTTACGCCCCTTTTGGACTTCTTCTAGATGAAAATGAGTTAACGACTTGTACACTAGTAACTCAGAAAAGCCATGCTGCAAGGGGCAAAGATTATTTAGTGGCAGTTTCAATGACTGGACTTGAAGGTGTACCTTTAGGGCGGAAGTGGTGTAGTGGCAAGTGGCCACCACACAAGCGGTCCGGGGATCAATTCCAGACAATAACGGGGTACTCCACACAATAGTTTGACCACTACTAGTGTCAACAAACTTCGCAAAGGTGAAATTCACCCGCTAAAAAGGGGTCGAGTCTTTTTTGTGATGTGCCTCGGTTGCCCACTGCAACCAACCACGCAAATTTTGAACTATTTGGACATGCTGTGAACATCGTTTTCGTGAGACCTCTTGCCTAACCCGGCCAATTTTCACGCGTATGGATTACAGCCATCCAATATAGGAATCAGGAGTTGATCAGAGCAGTTTGTGGCAGGAAGTGGAGGAAAGTCTGATGTACTACTAAATGGGAGGATGGTACGACAATCGGATGTGAAAGAAGGGTAGGGATGCGTTCTGCAAAAGGACGACTGGCCCCTCAGAAGAGTATAAAGATATGGCGGGCACACGGCTCCCATGGGCACGTAGCTAATCCTATTCTGGCAAGCGCCACCTTCCGTGGCGCGGTTCGACTCCAGGTGCGGTACTCTTGCTATTATATTAGGTCGGTCCATAATTTTTGAAACCTTTGGTGTTTTCGATTCTATCAGTTTTCTTATCTCTCTATTGTAATTATTCAGCTCAGTATACATCGCCATTATTACCATCTTCAAATAAAGGGAGGGAACCCTGAATAGAGGTAACCACCGATGCATCGTGGAATGAGGGTGTGTGCCCTCAACTATTTTATGGAGAGAGAGTTTGAGAAGTAGGTTTCGAAGAAACTGGAATTCTAGCTAAAGAAAGAAACAAGCAAAGGTGAGCTTGTGTGCTAGGTTGCAGGACATCATGGAAAGCTTCAGTACTTATCAAAAGATTTTTTACCGCAAAACATGTTGAGTATCTCAAAGTTATGGACCGACCTAATACATACAATTGATTGGATGTTGATACTGTTATCGCCGTACTTTGCCCCTCATTTCGAGGAGTCATCTCGTATTAAGCGGCCGTACCTACGTTTTTCTGTGTAATAAGTAACACTTTCTTAGCGAAAAGCTGATGTTTATTGGCGTGATACCGATTATAGGGATTAACATTTGCCAACGAGCTGGAGGTGGTCAGTGGCTCGTTCAAAGCCGGAATCAATGGGGATTAGAAGATCTCATTTTGCGGATTCTAAGTCATTTTTTCTGGGATTTTCTTGACCACTGTACACTACACAACTTCTCGTTTTAGCTCTAGTTTGAGGGAACTTTTTGTAAGATCCGACTCTATGAATTTCTCTGGGAACAGTGTACAAGCCGCCATCAGGTCGCTGAAATCGGCGATATCGCGAACTTTGACATCTACCACACAAAAACGTACCAAGTAGAAGCATACCCTGAAAAAATGGCATGCATTCGTAGCGTGAAATGCAGCGATGCTGCAAAAAGTCTTAGTTAATTGCATGAGGGTGAGCCAAGGTCCACGTAGGAACTGTACTGAGATAAGCCGCTTAGCCAGAGTGAGCACCCGAAGCAAGCGTAAATTACGATGTTCCTACCGTAGTCTCGTACAATGCGCGTCGCATCGACGCGATTTCCGCAGTCACAATGCTATGGGTTATGCTCACAATGAGGCTCCACTCGCTGGGCAGCAATCCAAAAGTAGATGAGCGTGCTCGCTCTGTCTAAACGGCCTAATCCAACTGTACTACCGAGGTTCAAATTGCGGCATGTTGGCACTCTGATGCGTACCTTAGCATCAGAATTAGCTCCATCGAAGTGAAGCTCCTTTTCATGTTAAGGGATAAACTGTGTGTAGTCGAGGAGGAGCTTTTATAGCCCAAAAATGTGATGAGTACAATTTCTTCATGGAGCAGATGTGGGTTGGCTTGAGGGTCGAACAGTGTAGCATTAACATAAAAGTTGGGACAGTCTTCAAATAAAGCCTTTATGGTAAGTTATAATTGTACATTCTCCAGGTACCTCTTCGGGTATGCAGCAGAGCTGAAAAGTAGAGGAGAGCTCTCTGGAAGTACTGCAAAACGGCTCCGCAAGCGATTACAACGGCAACAAAGTGGACAGTCAGGTGAGGATCATTTTAAAAGTTTTATTAGGTCGCAGCGATCGTTGTGAGATAAAAAACGCTACAAAGCTCTTGCGATTGTATGAATTAGAGGAGAACATTAAGTGCTCGAGCGCATCGAGTTTTCGGGTACCCGACAAGAGGTCCTTTGTGCAGCGAAAAGGAAAGGAAGCAGACGACTCATTGGACCCGTCGCAACATGTAGTGCAGTGATTTCGCGTCAAGTTAAATATCTGGAATGTACTGTGGAACGCTCCACGTCACAGAGACACGCTGCGACTCGTCCGCTGACCTGCCTGGGTATGTGCGTTCTCTCTGCGCCGCTCGACGAGCCTCCTGACGGGGACGCGGATTTTCGGACAACAAGAGGACTTAGCGAGAGATGTTCTGCAATATTAATGGTTAACGCATTCTGCCAAGTATTTGTCGACTTTTCCCAGTGCATGTCGATCCTACTTCAGCAACCGACCAAGCCGACCATTCTTGAAATAGTTGGCATGAAAAAAAAATGATGGCCCATTAGAACCGATAAGATTTCTATCGAGAATAAATGGGAAATCAGGTTCAGTGTTCTTTCGCATACCGGAAACATTTTTTCGAAGGGACGGAAGGGAGAATCGGTTTTCGAATGTGTCAAAAACTTGTATAGGGAACGTTCCCTTTGCACGATCTTGAAAATAATGGAAAAATTACCGGTTAGTGTTGACAGCCGTACTCTCTAACTACTGGTAAATAGGGCAGCTTGGTGAGCTTCGTGCGATTATCACAATCAATTTGCATAACGTTACGTGTACGGCTACTCAAAGAATCACTGCAAGTGCGCGAACCTGCTCGCAAGAAAGCCTAAGTGCACTCTGGCAAACGTTTTCGTGCCAGAACGAGTGTGGTATTTGTGCTAATCGTAAGTGAGAAATATGTTCCCGAAAATAAATCTTCATGCAATTTGAAAGTGTGGCCCCCTACATAATTTCTCACTCATTCAGTTTACCCAATTCTCGTAAGCAGGATTACATACACATCATATGCAAGCAACTATTTTTTGTGATGAAAGTTGAGTGCCCGGCGCAATCCAAGATTGTCCCATTAGGGAATTGAGGATAGCCTTTGGAAGAGCTCAACGAGCTGGACTCAACAACATTTCCGTAGTTTGGAAAGCTCAATTTTGAACAGAGTTATAACAGGAAAACGAAAAAACGCGAAAACGCATTTTTCGCGTGAATTTTGCAGTTCTTACGGCGAGTACCGTACGGAAATCGTTCCATCTTTCCGAGATTTCGTTCGCGCTTCAGAGATACTGAGAAACAATTTTGCATGCGTTTCGAACATCACAGTATAATTTGTTCTGATGTTTTTGAAAAATTAATTCATACTGAAAAACTATTCATTCTGGAAATTGGGAGTTTTCTAAAACACTAGTTTCATTAAGGCAGTGTTCGCAAGGGTAACCCCATAGATGTTAAAGCCTGCATGGCTTATAGCAGCAGTCCCTTCACAAAAAAACGTAGGTGGAATTCCGCAAGGACTATGATGGTACTACTATAAAATTTAAGCTCTCCATCACTTTTGGTAACAAAGAAAGTGGCTATGATTGATAACCTTCCTGAAGTGAGATGAGAATGGAAAGAATGAATGCATACATAAATTTTTCAAGGGCGGCGTCATACAGGCGAGAGCAGTGAAGGTTCTTCACTAGTTGGGACGCCAACCGACACTGGGCGATCGTTTACTTTTGGAGCAGCGCAAAGGATAATGAGAGACAGGTACATAGAGTTGCTTTGTTGTGCTAAAACTATCAAAGTTACTGATTCCTTTTTTCTTCTTCTAAGATCTTAGTATCATACCCTCTAGAAAAGCTATGAACAAAGTCCGAAACTTTGTTCTCATCCGTTCACAATGTTGAGTGACAGAATATCAAAGCAAAAAACCCATTAGATGATGTGTATACGCCAGAACAGGGAATTTAGTTCGTAAAAGTGTGTCTGTTTTTGTCCTTTGTGCGCTCTCTAGCGAATGAAAAAAGCAAATGGGCATTGATCTTACAAATTCGCTACACTAATAACGACTACCCGTACCGTATACTACTGGGTTAGTCCTGTTTACATGCTGCCACCCATTTCTCACTGTGTTGAAACAATTAGACCCAGCGTGCTTTCCGTGCCAGCCCTCTAACAAAATATCAGCCAGAAGTACGGAAGCTCCACGGTGAGTCGCTGAAAATCATTCAGGCGTGGTCCTCAAAGGAGGATTCTACCATAAAAACGAAAGTCGAAGAATGGAAAACCTACGCAGTGGAGAGACAGGCGGACCTCGTAAGGGTGCTGACGAACACGCAGTTCGCACCGAAGGTTATGTCCTGACAATCTGGCATGGCCTTCGGTTTGGCGCAGTTGGCCTAGGAGGCCTACTGATCTAGCAGAGAGTATTAGCGTCGAAGAGGGCAGGATGAGAGCCGCATCAATGCGAAAATCAACGAGCAAGGAAGAAGTCCCGTTTCTCGGGTTCTGCGCTGTTTCGCATGGTTCTTCCTCATCCCTAGTTCACTGTTCACCTCTACCCTTATTTCCAATAAGATATTTTCCAACGTAAAATTCGTCTTTAAAGAGGGTTTCATGGTAAGGTCAAGCGAAGGAAAATAAGCTCAGTAGGAACGCAGCCGGGCTCTCTGAGGGCGCGTGTGGGTTCCGCAGCGAATGGTGTGCCCGCAATGGCCTAGTATAGCCATACCTGCGCCGCTCGCAGTGCTGCCCGCCCACCCCTCGTCGTCTGACTTTAGGCGTTCGGCAGAGAGAGCATTAGCGTTGATAAGGTCAGCACCGTTGACCCGCCTAACGCTCAAATCAACAGGAAGAAGTTCTCTTGTTTCTTGGGTTCTAGGCCTTTCCTTATTTTTTCTTCAATCCTGCATCACAGCCCACCTCTACCCTGGCTTTTGGTGAGCTGTCCTACGTACTACGACTTTTTTAGAATCGAGTTATAAATGTGTTCTGCGTTGCAATTATTCCTCCCAGCAACGGGCAACCAGCTATAGATTTGCCTGATGTACGTTAGCTGCGACCTGGGATTTGATCTAGGGACCATGCGCGCGGTAGCGGCCCGTCTTTTCACAACACCATTTCCGCTCGGATGATTTTTTTGTTCAATAAATTGGCAATTCTACAACCACACATTTTTTTTACAATATTGAAGTCTTTAATGACCCGAAAATTTTTACAAAAAAAAGTTCGAAAGGTTCAATATTATATGGTCTATGAATGGTATGAAGTAAAACATATACACAAGGGCACATTGCAAGCAGCACACATTATTTTTGTTCGAAATTCTTTCTTTGACATCGCGCAGTATCTACATCGCCGACGCGTTTTTAACTGTAGTGGCATATGGACCCCAACGTTGATGATCCTCCTGAAATTTTTTTGGTGGCCTCCCCATGCCGGGCTTGCGCCTGTTTCCTGTTTTCCCTCCCCTGCGCAATCATTTGCTGAGCAAGAGGAACAGGAATTTGATCAGCTTCGTTTTCTCCTGATGGATTTCATAATATATTATCCATGCGTTTACAACCGCCACCTGTAGTATTCTATAGTACACCTTACCACCATTTTCTGGGACGTCTATGGAAGTCGTAAAGTGCACATTTCTGATCCGACAGATATACTCCACCCATTATGCTGCTGTAGAAGGAGACAGCTTCAGGGCATTCAACTCTTTTCGCGATCCATCCTTCATTGTGCACAACACATGCTTGTAGTCAGCGTGACAATTGCTGACTACCAGGACCTCCTTGCAGCCTTTCCAACGGGCACACAGCGTTCCAGCTCCATTTACCATAAACTCAAAGCTGCTACGTTCGCCAAGCTTTTGTGAAAACTTGGGGACATAGTAGGAATTAAGAGGCTTCTATATGTGCACAGTTCAGCCATCGAATGAGCCCTCCTGCCTCAGTATTCCCTGGAACTGTGGTAGTGTCTTTGACTACGAAGTGGGACACATGTGTCCCACCAGCAGTCAAAGGGTTAAATTAGCCGCTACCTCGTGACCCACATTGCGTATCATCATTCATGGGATGTGCTCTAGATATCTGTTAGCTCACATTAATCGTCATTAGCTCACTTTCTAAGGCCCTAGCGCCATTGTCGCGCACTTTAGAGCCGCGAGGACGGCACAGCTGTGACACTCGCGTGCTACTCCATTCTACCTAAAGATATGCTTGACATGACTTCATCTAGAGATGTTGCTTTGAAAGTTTTTTGATTGTGAGTGACTTGAAATGTTTGATTAAGTGTTGTTGAATTTTAAGGGAAGACGGAAGACCGGTCAGCTCTCAAAATCTAACTGAAGCCATGCTTGAGGTTTGCTGATTTGCAAGTAGTTTTGAAATATCGTTCCTATATTCTGTTATGCCTTTTTAACAAACAACTCGAACTGTCGGCTTCCCGAAATTCCCATGCATTCAAAAGTTTTCATTCATTTGTCCTCGATATTCACTTTCCATCAGTAAGCGCTACCTCCACACATTGCGTTGACCACATGAGGGTATATTCTCATTTTGTCCGTCCTCTACTGAATGAAGGCGTTTTCCAAGAGTCGAGGAATTGGGGATACTCGTAAGAGGAATTTTTTCGATCCAACTTCCCATTTTTACTGGGCGGTGCGGCAACAGTTGCCCATTTCATACTTTGGAACTTCGCTCTTGTGTAACCCTAATTTCCGGTAGATAAGCCCGTGCCAAGATACGTAAAATTCATTCTTAGCGGTGGCGCCGTCTAGCGCCAGTTGGGGTCACTTGTCATGACCCTAGTTTTCACCGAAATCGGTGTAAACTGTGTGGAGGTTATTTGGTGCTCGATTAGGAATATGACATTCATTTTTAGCTCGTTCGATCCTTACTTCTTGGTTGGAGGGTGAAGGCGAGCAGAAAACCGTAGAAAATAGCGCCAGCGCAAAGAATGAATGTCATATTCGTAATCAGGTCACCAAATAACCCCTATACGAAAGTCTACACCAAATTTGGTGGAAACAGGTGTCGTGACAAGGTGTCGCCAACTGGCACCATATGGCTCCACCGCCAAAAATGAGAGTCATTCTCGTAATCAGAACACTAAATTACCTACATATTCAAATCACGGTAGGTATTCTCTAATTGTAAGGTGTAGAAAACCACACTGCACGAGCGGAGGTGTTTTTACATGATATCGACGCGGGCTCATCTACCGGAAATCAGGGTCTATTTGGAACGATCCCTGAATTTCCTCAAAATTCCATAAGTGACTGTTCTATCAATAACCTTTTCGCATCCCATTCCCTTCCGTTCCCCGTTTGATATTTAGTAACCTTACTCTCCGTAATCACAAGCGCATGAAACATAATGGAAATGGAAACGAGACAGCGCCAAATGAACACCAGTGAGCTCCAATAACACTAATGTTTTCGTCGACGGCATAAATACTTCTCTTTGCTCTGGCTATATTTGCTATCCGTTGTGAATTGATTTGGCTACATTAAGAAATTGAATGATCTATTAAGAATACCCTTACGGCTCTTGTTATCCTATACATAGCGCATGTACAAGAATTTAACTAGAATTCTAGGCAATCCACTGCGAGGACGCTAATCTGATAGAAAGGCTCCTTGCTGCGTATAACATCAACCAGCCCATCTCCGCTTCTCCAAGTATAGGTGAGCACTTATCAAATGAGATAAACAGTGCGTTTCAGTAGTACGTCTACTCTTTATTTCACCAAAAAACTTTTCCTAAATTAGCATAAACGCATTAGCGGATTCGCTGTATTACAAAACATTTTTTTAGACTTTCAAGTTTATAAAGAAATGTTTCAGAAGTATTTTTTTCGAGTTTCGATTGCTTCATCGCGTAGTCCACTTCGTATAACAGTTTATCAAGGCAAATTCAACAATGTTCTTCATGAAAATCAATAATCTATTGGTGCACCCTGTTTGAACGAGAGCTTCGTGAGTAGTCGATGCGACGTACTCACTGTTAGGTTCCTGGCAGTTGAAGTATCGATGCTTCTCCACGCATCCATGACCGCACTTCACTGCTGTCGAAGTGGGGAAACTGCCTGCCATTGGCGTGAACCCGTTGCACAATTGTTTCCCAAATGTCCTCCATTGGGTTAGATCGAGGCTGCATACAGACGACTTCATGACATCTCATAAACGGTCGAAATTTGGAAAAATAATTCTGAAAATTTTCTTGTTAACTTGCCTGTCTGAAAAAATGTTGCTCACTGTTTTTTTTAGTTATCACGATGATAATGTGTGCTGCTAAATTGGGCCAGTTCTTCAAGAATTGGTTAAAATGATGGGTGGACGTATATATACTACTGAAAGGCACCATGTGATTTACATTCTTTCCCCCAGTGACATAGGCTCGAAAAGTATTGCGAGAATAAACAAGGTGGCCATAGAATACCAGGTACAGTAGCGGTCAAAAATGGCCAGTACTGAACAATGTCGCTTCGAATTTACATGGTATGTACAAAAAAGTGCGAAACACGGTGTATATTGTGAACCCATAACATGGAAATTCATGGCTAGAACGGACTAATTTTCCCAAGGAGTGTCAAAAGTGTGGAAGCTTTCTTTTTTTCTGTAATTTTGATTTTTTACATATTTATGCAAAGTCTACGAGAGTATGCCAGAAAACCTTAATTTCTAAATAACCTTACTAAAAGCAAGCCTGTTCGTACTGGCATAGAGTTATACGTAGAGATGGTTCTGCCTTCTTGTGACTTACATCAAACACAATCAATTTTAGCGAACGATACATCCAACAAGAACAGGGAAAAAGCCGCCTTCAGGTGAATCACCCCTTTTGTCCTGTATCGTTCGCCGCCCGCTTGTGCCCGCTCGTTCATCGTGACCCTGGTCACAACACTCCGCCCGGGAGAGTTAGTGCCATAACAAAATTTGTGTTACAAGGGCCCCACTCCTGACCGACCGCGCGACGGTCAGCAACGCGAACATCAGTGTGTTTCCCTACGCGTTTCTATCATTTCGAAGGGAGGAGCGACCACTCCAGTCATCACATGAGGCGTAACGCGCTAAATTACGATTGGCTAGTGCCACTGTTCGGCCGCGAGCGACAACGTGATCATGGACTACGCGTAAACGAGCCGTGAATTGAGCGAACATGCGTTAACTACGCAGGAGATGAGTTCGACTTCTGCTACGTCAGTAATCTTCCGAGGAATGATAAATAAATGACCATAATCAACACTTAGGAATAAACTCAATCGGCCATACTTCCCATCATTGCGTACGAAGGAAATGAAGTGCGCAAATCATTTTTCACTGCGGGAACATGCATGGGCATAATACGGATACATGATGCTCTACTTGACCGAAACGTTTATGGTTGCTACAAAAAAAGCAAGGAACTCCCGCTCATTGTCATGATTTGCTTAAATGCGCAATTGGAAACAGTTGAAGCAAATGCTCAGTTGACGCATTCTATCCTTACGATCAGTGAGGGTAGGGAAGACGTCACAGTCTGCTGCGAAGTGATGAGTTGGAATTGCAAGCAAAATTGCATTTTCCTTTCTCAACATATCGCCCGCAAGAGAAGATTGTGTCCCACACTGTTCCGCGGGTTCTACGGTACATGAAAATTCAGCAGCAACGACAGCTTCCGTGGCACTGGCTGGTTATCCTGGTAGCATCGATGACCCAAGAAATATTGCACGTAGTCGATCCTCGACCTCTTTAACCAGTTCGTGCCTCTTGGACCGCTTTCATTCTACGCTTTCGGTGTCTATTTTTTACGAGACCCGACAGCGATAGAATGACCAAACCCGTTTCTCTTTCAACTTTGCTCCCTGTCGTAGTTTGTCTGACTGTCGAGAAATGTCCAAGATAAGAGGTTGGAGAACATTTGACAAGGTTTCCTGTACTACAGTGTTTTGAGAGTGTCTCACTGTCGTGTACGCTGGGTGTTGCTCCGTCGTTGACCTCCATCCCATCGTTATCCGTGGACGACATTCTAAAATAGTCTTTCGAATAATAGCGTTTAAAATAATTGAAATTTTGCACTTATATGTGCGAAATCGGGCGAATAATAAAGTTACATAGAACTAGTACTATAAAAACTAACTATAACATAGCTCGGAGAACTCGAATCATGCGACAAATGATTTTGAACGAGACATGAATCAAAGATAGTATAGTGCGATAAAAAATCTTAGCATGGAAAAGTTACGATGAAAGTAAAAAGTTGTGAAAATATAGGGAGATGAAAAAAATACTTCGTAAATTTGAGGTGTTCCAAAATTTCACCACATACAAACATGTACAATTTTCGTTTATTCGAGCTTTCTAATAGAAAAAGTGGATTAGGTTCCTTTCCGATTACAGAGCATGGAATTGCGAAAGTTTGTGAAGAGCATTCTACTTTTGCGAGAGCATTATTGATGCTCGAACGGCAGTTTACCGCAGCTGACGCACCTTTCAAACATACATAACATCCTTGCAAAGGCAAGACTAGAACCGAGCATGTGAATTGGTTGACGACGTTTTGAATACGAGATTTAGATATTTTAAGAGCTAATGACACTGACGGATGCTATTTGCGTTTATAAATTGTTTAGGCTATAATCGGAACTCAAACTCGATGCGAGTACGAAAATTGGGTACGTTAGAGGAAGAATTGATTACAAATCACTTCGATAAGATCATCTGTGCAGTAATAATTTACTTCGTTTTGCGCAGGCGTGCAAGGTGGAGTGTCTTTTAATGCACAGTCTTTAAGATGGGTAACATTCAAACCTGCGCAAGCTTACGTAAATTGCATATTTGATGGAATTATCGCTATGCTAGAATTTTTTGGGATAAAAAGAGTGATGGATATTACATCATTAAAAACTTTTTTTTGTTCGCTGGGCTGAAGATTAAGGAAATATTTACGCGTTTTGCTAGTAAAAAGAGAAATTTCGAGGCTTACGTTTACGGTTTCATACCAGGTAGGACATTGGAAAATTTCGTACACTTCCTCAGTAAGAGGTTTCTTATAAACTACAAAAAAGACATCCAGACGAGCGCAAACCACAGTTACATCCCCAGAAAGCACATGATTTCGTGCAGTATCCGAAAGTTCGCTGTGGCGTTTACTGCACCACATTTTCGACCCGTACAACTTCCCTTGGTGAAACATCTCTTGCGAGGTTGAATTTTCGTTATAGTTCTAAGAGTAAAATAGTGGGGTTTCTTTATTGCATGTAAGAGTAACCGTTAAGCGTGATCTTGATTTGCTCAAATGTTGCGTTGCTCGAGGGGATTACGATACACGCTTCACGAGTCAACAGATTGATTTCTAACGAGTGCGTAATTACGGCAGAACAATTGGAGTTCTGTCCCGAACACATAATAGTTTGGACTGAGACAGGAAGTGAGAGCTGACAGGCTTGAATTAGTGGAAACATGGGAACGACGGACGTTAAAGTGACAATGTTAATGAATGATGACCGTTTAAACGGTCTACGAGATCGGTGAATAGGCATCAATGGAACTTCTTGTTGGTAGCGAGTTGCTGCGCCGATTGAAAACAAAGGCGAGAAGCGCGGCAGCATATTTCGATGCGTCTGCAAAGGCAAAGTGCCAGTACGAAGGAGAGAACGATGAAATACAAGAGAATTTCGATCAGTGCGATCGCTGTCTAAGGCCAGAACTCTGGGTTCGCTAACATTGCGAGACAGAAATAGTAATCGATCATCTCGCAAAAAAGACTTGGAGGGCAAAGGATGCTACTCGTCACGACTTCGTTGGCGGATTTAGCTTTAATACGTACATTATGTTCGTGTAAGCATACATCTGCAGGAGACATTATGTTAATCTCGTGTCCGCAAAGACCAGTGCGACATGTGTTGTATGTCTGAAATTTACGTTTTTCCTGGTTGCCTCCGAAGCTGGTCAAGACATAGGAGGAGTGAGATAAACGGGGAAAGCAAAGGCGTTACGCAAGAGAATATGAGATGAGGCTTAGCTGATCTCATGTCGCATTGTCAATAATTAATTCTTGATTTTTGCTTTCTTTCGTTAGCATTTAGTTTAATTATCGAGTATAAATTTTGGCATAGATTCATGTAAAGAGAGAATCACTAGCTCTACAGGGGGATTGATCAGAACACGAATGTGGCAAGATGAAGCTTGTTTCCTAGCAGTCCACTCTCGACGAAGGCGTGATCACTAAAATTTTTCAGCATTATCAGAGCCAGAGAAGGCAGGGGAACGTCTCTCAACGTCTATGCAATAAAACAGCTTAATGCGACATCGTCTTTGAAACTCTGAAGAGTGATCAGCTGGCAACGTTCTCGACATCCTCAACCAAGAAGCAACTTTCCCTGGTTTTCTTTTCAGACAAATTTGAATCATTGTAATGGTCAAGAATTTCAACCAGCTAGATGATATACGATGCACATGTGGCAAAATCCCATTGCCACTTGGCCGAAATATGGCATGTCACCCACTACCAAGTTTTCTTTTCGCTTTCATGCTAAAGATGCAGTGGAAAAATGGCACTCTTCGCTAAAATCGTGATTTTGTTGCTAGGAAGCACGAACACCTTGACTGAGCTGGCTCAAAGACGACATGGTGCTGGAACACATCGTCGCTCTAACGCCAGTAGCACCATGTCAACGCACTCGAACTGTAGGTGAGGAAGAATTTCTATTGTATTATACTTATTCGTATATTTTTCAAGCTATCGAAAAGTAATGACGTAAAGAATCAAACACATTCTTTCTCATACGCTTACATTTGTGTATGCTAGGATTGACAAAAACAACTTACAAGCAAAATGATATTCATACAGTGTATGAGCCTAAGCAGTTGAAAGAAGTTTTGATTTCATTCTAAAAAGGTACGTCGAAAGCGTTGGAAAATTTTCTGAACAACACAAAATAATGACCATCCAACTGAGCATCCGCTCACCCGTATCCATTTCCTGCAATATCTTTCTTGCTGGTTGCCGTAATTATACAAGGATTGGTTTTGCTTAGTTTACTTATTTCGACCTTGAAGTGCGGAGCGATGAAAATTTCGGAGAAGTTGAGGTAGTCTAATAGATGTCTATGGAATTTGTTCATAGAAAAGAAAATCAACTTTAACTCAAAGTAGCAGGGTGACCTTAGGATTAATAGGCACCAGTCGCTTCTTATGAACCCGAGTTGCACTATGTCACATTAAACAACAGGCTTTCTGGACTAAACATCGGAGGCAAAGACAAATGATGAAGCAGAACTCAAATGCAAGTCGAGGAGATGTTATGAAAGGGGAGAAAAAGAATAGCTCCGTATACAACATATTTTATACATTCCAAGAATTTTAGGTCTTCTATGTCTTCTAGTAAAATGCGTAGGTTTTCCATATCCTTCAGTAGAACACCGCTGGCACCTTTCTTCTAGTTTCTTTATTTCTCTCACTGTACAAGGGACGTTGCACTATACATAATACTCAAAGTCCCATGAGTACTGCACAAGAATTTTGTGCGTTAGTTTTGTGGGTGTCTATATATTTCTCCATGGCTTTAATCGCACAATTCCTTTAGAATAATATTGTCAAATTACTTTACTGCAAAGTACCCGAATCGTCGTTACGCTGCCAGAGTGGCTCGCCCATAATTATGATAGACTATAATAATTCAGTAGAAGCACGATTTTAATAATAATAATATTCGAATACGAATAAGCAGAGTGGCTTCAAAAAAGCTGTACGGTAAAAATGTTGCTCCCAAGGCTATGTGAAAATGGGTTAACTTCAAATCTACCTTCATATGCCTTGCACTTTCTTTTGAGACCTTCCAAATCAAGTTAAAAGAAAAATTAGGAGACACATTATGTAGGAATACTATAGACGCTTTCTTGGCTGGAGCTCACTTTTTGGTGGGTTTTATTGTCAATGTGAAGTGAAAATGTAAATACGCATTTTAGGTCCACTTGTGCAGTGATGAATACCCTGCACTTGGCAGTAGCGCACAAACAACGAGAGATTGCTGAGCTGCTTCTTCGATCTGGCTACGATCCGAACTTGCCAGCTACTTGTCACTGCAAGGGCAACTGCACAACGACAGGAAGCATCCCTCTGACGTTAGTAATTTCGTTATTTGCTTTCGATTCAGTCAGTTTATACTGCCTTTCAGTCTGCTGCTGTGCTAATTTCGCTTTTATTAAGAAATCACATACCAGTACAGGGTGCACCGTAATTACTCGCTCAAACTTGGGAAGTGTAATCCATCATCTTCTTTGGCCGTGATCTGCCATTTAGCCACCAACCTCTCAGGCGCTTCCTATTCCCTAAGTTGCTTAAATAATGTTATCTCATGAGTTCGTGCCACTTTCGAACATTTTTTGAGTTAACGTTATCTCAGCAATAAATAATCAATATCTATTATCAATATATAGACCGTCGTTATCAGTGAATTATTGCCTACGGTACATTAGAGTGAGGACGACGTGCTCTTAGAAGGTCGGCAGTCTCAAGCTCGAAAAGGCAGCGAACTCGATTTTGGGCTCCTTTTTTGAATCATTTTGTTTTTTGTCCGTAAACTGATTCTTTCGCAAGAAGTATAGTTTGCATTTGGAAGGAGGATGTTCACTGCTGCACGACGGAGCTGGTGGCACTCCTCAAGCTTCGAGAAGTGCCTTGCCGTTTTCGAAACACGAGGTCTCGGTTGTCGTGGAGCGAACTTTTTTTTTGAATTTTGAGCGTATCAGTTGGACTATTTCAACCAGCTTCAGGCGTTGATTGAAGGAGACCTGGGCTGTTACAAGGCCGAAGCTGGGGATAAGTTGCCAGTGGCTGATTCGAGATTTGCTTCCCATACGTGGATCAGCACGTTTTGCTTTATTTGACAGTTTCTCAGCCCCTTATGATCAATCTAGCCACTGATGCTTAGGCAAGTCTTTAGCACAGGACAACCGCTTCTCATTAGTAGTAGCACCGTTGTTCTTCACCGCGCAGGGATGCAACAGGATAGAAGATGTTGGCAGAACTCGTGTTGCGCTCTTATTATTTCCCGAAGGAGTGCAGACCTCTATTACCTGTGCACCCGAAATATCTGAGTGTGGCAGCCACAGCAAAATAACTCATGCGGGTTGCCTTTAATGGGAGAGCACAGCAGGTCCAAATCGGACCACGATTGCCTCCCCGGGTCAGGATTTTCTCAGGGCTGTAGCCTCCAGAGATAAGCAGGTTTTGCCATTCTGAGACCACATGGAGAACGACGACAAAGAGGAGTATCAAAAAGCAAATGTAGCTCCTGGGCTCGACCAATTTGTGCCTTAGTAGAAGTTCATAAATCAAAGTGTGAAGATAATGGCCCTCTTCGTTCTCGATTTTGAGTTTGAATAAAGCAGCTATGGCGGGCATGGGTTGTTATAGGTTGAACAAACTGGGCTTTACTTAGTCATATTCGAAAGTGTGCTAATATCAGTTGCTTCTTTGTAATAATACAATTTCGGGTCCAGATGTTCATATTTCGACAATTCGGCATCATTCATAGATCGATGATAACGCTGCAGTGGTACAAAGACCCCTCTCAACCTTCATCAGCGCTCAAGAATTATCGCCCAATGGCGTTTCAGACCAGATGGATTGTTCAATACGTTCTTCTTGGAGAAGAGGATCTGCTCTCGAATTAATCGACACACTGAAGATGAACCTGCTCAAAGGATAAATGAGAATTTCCCCGCAGTACTTTTGCACCACGGGGGCCCTCACTTTAGGTTTAGAACCTGATATTCAGGACCAAAAAGGGCATTCCGAAGTATTTCTATGTTTTGAAGTGGCGTTCCATCGATAAGCTGTTGTTTAGAAAGTAGGCCTCAATCTGTGTTTTACTGTTTTCACAACGGTGGACATTAGAGCACGCATAAAAAATTCGACGCACCATGTAGTTCAAAATGTGCCCAACAAAATATGTGTGCTTTAGTCCATGATTAGAAACACTTCATCAGTCATGAAAGGAATACAAAATTATTCACTTTTAGGACACCTTCGATGACACCTGAGCTATGTTCAACGTGCTCTCAACTGCGTGTAGTGCCTATTACCGACCAAACACCGCTAGGTGTAGCTGTGCGAGCTCAAAGCAGCGAGCTTATTGCTTTGCTCATAGCGTACGGTGCAGATGTAAACCTAGGTAAGGCTGCACAATATTCGAGTCAGATCTCGGCAATTGCCAACTTCACTTTCTCATTTTGGCGGGACTGAGCGAAGATCACCATCTCGGCTCTAAATGCTCTTCGCGTCCGCTTATAGCGCCATTCCCAGCTTCTCATAACCTATCATTCTCGCTTGAAATTGAACCGTTGCTCTTTTGAGACACGTTGTCCGAACACTATAATTGTAGTTGGTATTAAAATTCCTTAATTTTTTGACACAGTTTTGTGTGTATTTTGCATTTTTAATATGCACACTTTACCGACCTCTCTTTCGGTAAGCCGAACACGAGCTGCTAATACAGAGCTTTGCACTTCGCTGTACCACATTAAAGACATCCATTGCTTTTTTTGTGATTAATAGACCACGTTTAGGAGATGAAGATGGTAACACACCCTTAATGTTAGCCGTTCGTGACTCACCACTTTGTTGGCCATGTTTGCACACCCTAATTTTTTTCGGAGCTCAGTGAGTCAGGTTTCCTTTGAAAACAAGGTGGAATTGTTCAATTATTACGAAATTCTTCAGAATCGAGCAAAGGAACATGAGAGGGATTTGCCCATTAGATCTTGCTCCTGAACTGAAGAAACTCCAGCACACATGTGTAAAAGAGCTACTCAAAATTGCATGCACGGGTGATAATGAACTCTCTAACAAAGCAACATCCGCTGGACCCGCACTTCGGCACTGGAGCCGGTTACACGTTGATATCGGTAACTTATCTTTTCTACTTTTACTTTTCTTCGTACGGATACTGTCGATGCGACAAAAATATCTCCATCTTCCGATAATAATCTTTCCATATAACTCTTTATAATTTTTCCCGAACAAGCTGTACAAATCTTCCCCTCCAGCAAACAAAACAAATTCGAGTGATGTCTACTATCTAACTAGTTTGTAACTGTATAGATTTTTTGTGGAATTCCCGCGTGCAAATCAGTATATCGGGGGCTGCAAGCCATCGCGAAACATCCACTTCTAATCAAGTAAGATCGAGAATTCCTGAGCCGCATTGTTTCATAAGACTTCTTTGTCTTACACAATAAAATGAAGCTCCAGAAAATTATATACCGACCTTTCGGGCTCTAAGCCCTTTTTTAAGTCTATGAGAGCTTCCAAACATTACGTGCGTATATAGTGGCGTATAAGTGGGAATCATATACAGCATGATATATGAATGAGGAAGCATCCCATACCTCATATTACGGAGTTTACATCCTTGACAAACGATTGGGTTAGGTGAGGTAGCTTCAGTGGGGTAGCCCAACTCGAGGAGGAATGCCTAAATAAAGCGACGCTAATGTGTAAACTTGAGATGGCTTATAATCTGAGAACATAAATAATCAGAACACTCGACTATTCCCCTAGGGAGCACCGCGTGGAAGTCTACTAGTCTTGCTAGAAACCGTCCTGGAGTGACGAGTCGAATAAGTGAGAAATGACGCCATCGTACGTTCGAAAGGGGTTTCACAGGATTGGGCAACTTGTCGCGCCGCTCTCAGGCTCAACGGATTAGGCGCATCGGCGTTTTCCGTGAAGCCTTCGAACGTTGCGACAAAAGGGAGTTTTGAAGGGCCTCCTACGCGAGCTCATTCATCTGCCTTCGGGCAAAAACTATTGAGGCCCTGACGCCCTCTTTTGTGGCTACCGAAAGGAGTTGAGATGCTACTGAGTTTACTAGATTCACCTGGAGTCCTAACGAGCCTGCGACTATAATCTATACAGGACTTAGTGGTTAAAACTTCCATAACATGGTGAATGCAGAAAATCAGTTATCATCAAATTTAATGAGAAAAGTGGCAATTGCGGAATGTGACAATGTAAACGACCTAAGTTAAGGAACGAACCTCTGGCCGCCTTATTAGAGGCCTCAGCTGATCCTCATCCTCGAGGGCATACCGGAGCGCAGCGCCATAGACGTGTGTGATGCAGGGCTGTCTCATTCGACAGCGGACCCAAGAGTTGCTCCAATCCGCGTTGATCCGACGTCTGCAATTGTCCTCGTGTAGACGGGCAATGAAGCAGTACAGGGAATGGAGTGGGAAGAGCGAACCGACCGCTCAGGCGGGAGACTGGCTAGACCAATTTTAGGCCGCTGATATAACGATCTCTTGTACAATACGGTATCAGCTCGTGATGGGACCCCGGTGTGGTGGATCTGAGTTGCTCCTTGAGATGGGAACGGCATTGGTTGAATGAGTCGTACAAAGTCATAACACAACTGCCACATTATTGTTAGCGATTGCTCTTTCTGAGCATCATAGTGGGGCGCGCCGCGTCGCTGTCGATCACCTGTCTGAGTTTTTCCTTCTCGAGGCATCTTATACCGCCAAAACTGGATGTCGCGTTTCGGCTGTAAGCACGACTCGTGCTTGATCGTTACGAAAGTGGGTATGACGAGATGCTGTCGTCACGGTCAGGTCGAGGGAAGGTGATGAGGGAATGATGTGTGGAGTTTGTGAATCGCCTATGTAGAGCGGGGATATGCTATGGTGATCACGAAAGCTTGTGAAGTGGATTGAGCCTGGAGACAACCTCTTTCTGAGAAGGGACGCGAAGATGTGTCAAAGTGGTGCGGCTCTCAGTGACTGTTGAAAACCGCGCGTAGATCCAACCTTATCATAAAATTCCTGCGAGAAGGGGTTCACGCCTCCAGGGGCGACTGAAAATCTTGCGCATCGCCTCCCTTTTGAGGATGAGACCTGTGGTTTGTGAAGGTGACCAAATATTTAACCCAAGTGCGATCATGCGAGATTGCAGGTCAGGAAAAATGCGTGCATGTCACACGAGACGCTGACGCGCTTTCCGCAAGATGAGCATCCTTTTGCTCCACGTGCGTTATATGGAACGAGCATGCTGGCTCTACTAGTGAACCGCATTATGGCACCCTTCAAACGATTGCCGACTTGAGTTCCGACTTGGCCTTCAACCGCGAGAATACTCCGATGCCATTACGTTGTCGCAAAACAGCAAGACGGCATCGTGTACGTGAGGGAGGCAGGGTTTGCACATATTTATCGCTGATGCACGAGCGATTCCGTGACGAGAATTAGCTTCCTGTTCCGTCCAATCCAGCGCTTGAGTGGTAGGGGGGAATGTGATGAAACAATGAGAGCTCTCCATTCCTTTTCTGTTCTGTCTGATCAGAGTGCTGACGCTTATAGGAAACAAATCCGCCCTGCAAGACTTCAGTGCGTATAGTATGTACATATGTGCACTGACGTTTCGTCGCAAAACTAGCTTGCCTTCCAAGTCAGCTAAATATCTTGACGAGATAAGGAGCCGAAGGTGGGGAGGCGTAAACATAGCCACTGCAAGTGAGTGGCCGAATGAAAGGCATTAGTGTGGTGTCCCTCTATACTCACCATTAGAGAACTAGGGAATTACTCGCAACTATCTCTAAATCGTATAACCGATGCTTTTTGTTGTGCTGAACACTGTGATCGAAGCTGTGAAAGTCCTCTTGTATGCACATCAGCCCAGCGACTGTTCTTTTGACTATATACGATAACTGCAGTAAGCTTTCGTACTGCATCTCTATCTATGTATTTACTGTGCTGTTGATGTTGCGTGGTCCTTCTCTCTTTCTTTCTTCTTAATTGACGACAACGCGGGGGATATGTATCCCGCGCATTGCAGGCCATGTCGGACCGTGCGGGATATATATCCCCCGCACCCCTTACACCCATCATTTTTCGCGCACGCCTTATTCTTTCAGAAGTTTCTTGTATTTATCCCTTGGAAGAGACCTTGATGTAGCTGCAAACATAGTGGGACATAGAGTGGTTACGTATGCTCTGATTTAGAGGAGGATTTGTGAACCATACGAAGTCTTCAGTTGAAAAAACCTTTCGTTTACTTTTTCTTTTTATGAATGTGAAGATTTAAATAGTAGTAGAAGTAGATACGGAACCTTATTGATGGCAACATGTGTGTTTCGATTGAAATAATCAACACAAAATTGCTTTTGAGGTCCATTGCAGCTAGTTCTGGCTAATTCCCCTTTTTCATTGTTATTCCACGTCTTTCGATCGGAATTCCACTACTGTACCCCGGGGTAGGTTGTACTCACTGCAATGTACTGATCTGGTTTTGTATTGATCATTATTTACGTATTTATCATTGAAAATCTGCTTGAACGGCCTGGGGCGGCCGCGCCCACAAAATCGCCTCGGTCCCACGTGGCCAAAAAAGCCAAAACTCGTGTTGTCGTCAGTGTGTTAATGATCGCTTGGTTAGCATTAGTCGCCCTAAAGGTAGCATTTACTTTCAACCTTTTATTCAGTGATTTCGAAAGAAGTTATTCCCCAAACAGAATCCATTTTTCTCAGCTTCACAAGGGGACAGATCGAGCAACAAGCTACCACTTTCTCCAAGGCCTTCCGCAGCTCCGTCAGTATCATCTTCTAGCATGCTGGAGACGTGCTCCGCAAAGGATATAGCGCGAAGGAAAAGTCTTGTCAGCCTTCAACTTCACAGAAAACCAAAAACAGCCAAAGAGTGTGAGCTTTGCGGTTTGCCTTTTTTCAGGATTTTTTATTTTTTTTGCTTGCTGCATCAAAGCAACTTATTTAGACATGGTTCTCGACTCAGTTGGCTGGGAACAAGCTTGGGAGCTTCTGAAGAAAATGGCGAACAACCCCGAATGTATAGATTCCATCGTGGTAGGGAGTTATCGCAAAAAAGCATTCCTCTTCATTCTATGCATTCGACAAATTTTCAGTGAGCGTTTTAGAGTTCCGTTACGAAGTTACCTATTCGAGAGGAGAGTACTTCGTCGCATGTTGACCAGGAGGTGTTTGACGGAAACATGGGAGCTCTTCTTCATAGAATGATTCATGTAAGCCTACACTGATTGTTCATCTGTGAATGATTCAAAAATCAAAGCGAGTCCAATTCAAAAGCTCTTTATTCACAAAACTTTAGTGAGAACTTTTCGGACCTAAGCCCTTCTTCAGATCAGCTGAAATACGATAGCACAATCACAACAAATGAAACAGTATCAGGTACATTCTACCAATGTCGTTCTAGTGGAAAGGAGCGGAAGGAGGACGAGGGGGTGATGCAAGAAAATGGGGAGGGAATGTTACGTGGGCTTTTATGTGTGTTGAGGAAAGCGATTGATTTTCTTATGTTCACGACGGCTTTCCTCGCGCACGTAACACTGACTTATCACTTCATTTATATAAACCAGAAGTTTGGGAGGGGGAGATGGGGAACGAGAGACTGAGAAAGAACGACCGTCTTCAAGAGTAAGGTCTATATTCCTGGGGCGACGGACTTTTGGTGCGTGGGGTTGCACGCGGCGAATCGCGCGGCAGGCTGCGCGGCGATCCGGACGAGGCAAGTCTTCACGAGCTCCTGCAGTGGAATTCAAAACGTCAGAACGTGTGCAGATTGCGGACAGAATCCACAAGGTTCTGCGATCCGAATTACACTTGAACGCGTGGATATTCAAAGGCAGCGGCAGGAGGAAAAGAAAATGATAGCAAGGCTGTTATAGTAATCAGAGCGCTTAGATTGTTGGCGCCTGTTGTAAAGGGGAGGGGGGAAATCTCATGAGAGGAAAGATTCAGCCAATTATTGTATTTGGGACTAAGCCTAAGGGGAAGAGTTCCTGGTGGAGGATGTTAGCAATTTCAGTTTTCCCGAGCGTATTTCCCTCCTCATGAGCTTAGTTCTAGTGTCACCTTCCATTGGCCCTATTTCGAAAGTTTCCCCCAAGGACAGGAGCGCCGCGATTAGTAAAGATATAGAGTTGGCAATAAATAACATCTCACTAAATGACTCCACTTTTAGTGCTTCTTATTCATATTTATAATATGATAATAGTGACATTTCTATGAAGTTTCTTTCTCTCATCTCCTTTCGCTTTAAACTCCTAACTGACATCACTGCGTCTTCCTCACTGACACCGGCGCATTTCACCGATTTCCGCGAGTGAGAAAATTCTTTCAAAGCAAAACCTTGTGGATTCTATACTCGATCTGCACACGTTCTGGCGTGCTGGGTTCCATCGCAGAAGCCCTGGGTGCATCACCACTCAATCGCCCCTGTGCGACCGTTTGCTAAACGAAAGATTACGTTCACAGATAGATTTTTTTTGAACTTGTTTTCGAATATTAAAAGTTGATTTTGGTCGCAGTACGCCATGCGAAAGTTTCTCAAGAATGCTAGTTTATAAACAGAATCGGTTCCAGGCGGAACCCGCACAGGACAAGTGCGCTATAAGTGAGGCTACGCTAGTTACGTTCATAACTAACATTCTTGTGGATTTATTTGACCTTAATTTGTGAGTCGAAGTCATCAGTACTGGTTTAAAGACCCGCAAAATAGTGTTTGACGTGATCTGCCTCGTCCGGATCGCCGCGCAGCCTGCCGCGCGATTCGCCGCGTGCAACCCCGGACGCACCAAAAGTCCAGCACCCATATTCATGCTGACGTATTGTCTACTCCGATGCGGTGATTGTGATAACACCAACAATGGCTACAAAAACACCGAACGAGCACGCTCAGCCTCATCCTACATGATGTTGCCGGGACAGCCGTAGTCGGCGGGCGGTAGAGGGGAGGGGGGATGAAAGCAGAAGGGGAGGGGGAGAGGAGAAAGGGAGGGAGAAAATGGTGCTGCCATGCGCCGGAGAGGAGGGGGATGAGGAGGTTTAACACATATAATAGTGAGGTGGTTAATGCAGTACGTCATGCTGCTATTCCGTGCTTCCTCCCTACCCTGTGATGCGCGCGATAGTGGGCGCAGCAAAGCCGGTATCTCTATAAGCTTCATCGTCATCTACATTTCCTCCTCATTGTTAATCGGTGGAGCACACTGCTTTATTTCCAATGCTTCCCTTATCTTTCGTTCGACCGGGTCAATCACATTCCTGTGGAAGATAACAACACGAAGTTCTGGGGACATTTCTTGCGCGTGTCCTAGTGTGTTTTGAGAATGGACTCTCTGCGTAGTTTTGAGGACTACGCAGGGCTCCTATGTGCTCGCCCATTCTCTTGTAGATAAAGTACTAAGGCAAAATGGATATAAAAGAGGGAAACATCGGAGTTGGAAACCGTGTGGATCACCATCTGGCACCCCTCTCGTGTTACCGTTTGTCACTGAAGATTTGGCAGTGGACATCGACCACGTCGTAAGAAGGTCAGGACTGCCAATAAATGATGATCTTCCGACCGCCACCTTCACTGCGACGCTTTCTAACATCATCGCGTCCATACGAAAACCTTTGCGGAAGAACAAATTGTACGATATGTGGAGAACAGAAGGTATGCCACATGAGGTGTGTAGTGTATAAAGTAGAGTGCCACGGGTGTGGAGAACTTTACATTGGAGAAACGGCAAGACCAGCTGCACATCTTGTTTGTGATTTATTTGCCCTCCATGCTTGGTTAGTGCTTCCTTGTGGAATGCGTGCTCCTTCTCGTCTTGAGCGGGAAGCTTGCTTTAAGAAGGAGACCGTTGATATCACATGTTGAGTTGAAGTTGGCGTTATGTCGTCTGGCAAGCGAATTCGTTGAGACACGTCTGCTTTTGGGAGCGGTGCACAGTAAAGAGTGGTGATCCTCATTGCACTTTGGGCACTGTCCCATTAAAGTGCAGAAATTTTGATCCATGGCTTCTGTCAAAACATTTCCAGCACACTCTTTGACGTCTAGCTTCTGCCCGGCACTCCTCTGGTGATGCGAACTTGTAGCACTGTTGTGGGAGATGCGTTCCTCCAAAGGGACATGTGGCTCCCTCTTTTGAACAAATGCTGTTCCGATATTAGAGAACTCTTCCTGGTGGCATCGGTAATTTGGCCTCTCTTCGGGTTGATCGAATCCCAATAATGTCCTTGTTGTGTTGTCTCCTGCACGATGATTACTTCATCGATGGATTCCATAATCTCATTCACGTTTATAGAGTTTCCAGTATCGTTTTCCTTCCTTATAGCTTGGTCACAGATCGATTCTGTAAAATTACACAGGATAAGGCGTCTCCACATTCGATCTGCATTCATTTTTAGTCCCGTTTGCTCCAGATGTGTGATGCGAGAAGGGTTTCACGGCAACTCCTCGGACCTCCTCGACCGTAATAATGCACTCAATTGGGTTTATATACAGAATATGTGGGCGGTCTTCAGATACCGTATCGCCATTGGACCGTAGGCGGCCAATGGCGGTACTCAAGCTTGAGGCATGAAAGGGCGAACCGAGCCAACAGCAATGTTTAAGTTACCTATTTAAGCACACTTATGATTCCACCAGGTCATGCCTCTGGTATCGTTTCAAGAGATACTTATTTGGAACGTCCTAGGGTAAATAGTTCGAACTAGCACGTTATCATTCATTTCTATGAATCTTAGTTCTACTAGGAACGTAACGTACTCGGTTGTGCATCCACAATATTAAGTGACACTTTTAACCTCTCCGAGAAATTACTAATGAGAAAATCACAATCAGTTTTCTGCAAAGATTCACGATGGTTCTTCACCAGTTGATGTCAGCGTTGTTGCAGACTGCTATCAAGGAGTATGAGTCATCGACTCCTTCTTACAAGAAGCAGAAAAATCTCCATCTCATATGGTTTCTGGGCCAAATAACTACATTTTGTTATTCATTCGTTCAAAAAGGCAGCACGGTTAGACAATTTTCCGCTCTCAGCACATTGAACAAGGTAAGTTACCATCCTTTTACAATCGTTTGCTAGATTGTTACTAATATATGAAGATATTGTTACACATAATATCAGAAGATATTAAGTGGGTCCATATAGAAGAAAATTTTTCTGTTATTTCTGGTACATTTGTTAAAAGTAAAGTAATATGCTTAAGCTATCTTTACAACTCAAGTAGATGTCAGTTGGCACGAGGCCAGCGATGTCACTCGAAAAGAAAGAGCTCTCCGCTTGAAAGCCTTTGATTTTTCACGAGTTGTCTTTGCCATGTAGGTCTAAAAAGGCTGGCTCATTTAATTATAATCTTGAAATCGCTGCTATCATGCTGCCGACGTCTAACTTCCTCATTGTAACATAGCAGGTAGGAGTTTCCAGTGCACAACTTTATTTGTATCTCAGCAATAAAGGAAAGGATGTCGGGAAACTAAATGAAACATGGGGAAGTTACACAGTTTGAGGTTGCGCCTGCTCAACATGTTAAATTCATAAAACCTTTTTGGATCTTTCGAGTTATGTGAAGATGTTTCGCTATAGTAATCTTGCCAATCCACAAACGTTCTGCGGAACGAGTTTGCTTGTCCAATTTCCTTTCCTGCCTGTTCAAACTCCTTTTTGTAGAGCCTGATACCGAGAGTTAATGGATGTCCTATGTGTTGGTCTTTCTTTGATATGGAAATTCGCCCCCAAAGATTATGTCAGTCAAAAAGAATTCGCCGTTTTGCACTTCTGTGTAGTAGTTCCCTGCAATTTTTTGGTAATTTCTTCCGCAACAATTCATGGAATTTGGGTATCATCTTTTAGGAAGAAGCTTGCTCTTCCATAAGCATACGGATGTTTAAGGTGAATTTGAAAATCTTTGCCGTTCTAGAATTTTCTTCATACCACGGAAATCGTGATTTTTCACTCTCGGCAGTTCATGACTTCAGACTCGGAAGAAGCACTCCAGAGGCGGCCGGCTGCTCTAGTTGGAAAACCCATAGAATATGCACTGCGCAAATTTACATCGCCAGGCTTGGTCGCGAAGGAATAAAGCGCAAAGTGATGCAAGTAGTCAGAGGATGCCCCCAAAATACCGGACTGTGCAAAAGAAACAAAAGGAGCTTATCAGAGGGGCTCAGCTGCAGATAGAGCAGGAGAGGTTGAAGTCTCTAACGACATCGTGCTCAGCCGCCTGAACGCTATGAGCAAGGAGCAGAAAAGTCGTCAGTCTGTCCATCGGGATGACCCGTGCTGGCAGCTGGACTCGTTGCAACGCGCATGGAGGTGCGCACTTGGACTCTATATTGTACAAGGAAGGAGCTGCTTCAAAGATTGGCAATAGTGCAGGATGAAACTATGAATCTGGACGATGATAATGTAAAGGTTGCTCAATGGGCGAGCGAGATTGTGTTGCCTTGGAGCATCCCGAAACCCAGAGCGCTTCCAACAGCGATTTTCCTCAGTGTGTGATGGCGCAGCTCATTGGCGATCTGAGAATTGGCCAGTCATCGACGGTTGGGACTTGCTGTAGAGAATAGAACATAATGCATACGAAATTGCGGTGATGATAGTATAGTTGCCTGAACAAATGAGGTTCGATCTGTCACTACGATAGCGCAGGACGGTCCAAAGCAAAATGCGCTATTGGCCATCCAGCGCAAAATTCATTCAAAAATGAATTCATGCTTGTTCTGCAATCGTTCCTATAGTCCAGGTATAATATCAGCTTATCAACGCATTCTTGGAGGCTGAAATTGCTTTGAGAGCAGAAATCTGTCAAAATTGCCTTCCAACAGCTTTTGCCCCTAATTTAAATTTTATCATAAGGGGACAGAGCAATTGTATGATTAGCAACGGTATGGCGAATATGATGGTTTTCAATACTTTGACGACAGCGCGGGACACATACGTCCCGCACTCTCACACGAAAGAGACTTGTTTTTCCTAAATTGTGCTTCCATTTCTATGATTCAAGACTGGCTTCCTAATGTTGGATACAAAAAATAGTTCTCTCGTTACCACTAATGAAATTACTGGTAATGTAGTAACTGTTAATGCAAATTTCTAAAACAAGGTGAGTAGGTTTGCGCACAAGGGCGTGTCGTCAACGTGTTAAACAACTTAGAAGTCAGTGTTTCAGCAGAGCTGTGATGCTTCAAAGTCAGGCGTGCGAAACGACCGATCTTAGAGAGTGTAACAGCGGTGCACCATGATTTGGGAGGGCTTGCCCATAGCAATCTTGAGGTAAAACCTTTGGTCACCCTGGTTTATGGAAGTTTGTATTGGGTACTCATAAAAAGTGAGGCACTGGAATGGGTTCCCGTGAAATTGAACTCTTAGCCTCGGAAGCTAACGTGCTGGCTTTCAGATTGGCCAAAGGGGTTATGGAGCATGCCATGTTCCGAGCCCCGAGATTTTTCTGGGACTTTTCATGGCGTTAGATAATAAGTGCCCCAGAATTTATGAGCCGACCTAATACAGTTGGGTGAAGCACCGCTAGTGATTGTGTATGGAGCGTTGATCAGATTCCGTTTTGGCTGTCGCATAAGGTAATCAGGTTTTTCAATACGGAAGGAGTACGGACAGCTACTAGCTAACATTGCTCTTGGATGTTTCGCAGGCCATTTGCCTCTTAAAGCGAATGCATATTCCAGATACAGAATGATGAAGCCTTCTAACGAACAGTAATGCCGAAAGCTAGTCTATGAAAATAATGCGTATCTCTTCCATAAGATTGCAGAAAAGCGCGTAAATGCAGTGCGGTCAAAGCACGAACTTTTCCGGCATTTGCTTCTTCGGCGATGCACACATGAGATCGTCGAGTTTAGCAAAACGTGCTGCATGGCCGCTTCTAGTAAGACGCGAAATGGTTTTTCCTTTAGTCGTGGGCAATTCAGAGTCAGTATGTTTAACAACAACGGATTGGCAACGTTTACGTTTCCACGTTCATATCTTTGGGTGAAACACTGAACACGATCAAATAGAATGTCCAACGGCTTCATTCTATAAAAAGTGGAAAATCTCATATTTCAGATAATTGATGCTGGTTTGGTGTATGGTTTGTTTTCCTGTGATGATATTGTTTTCCATTCGTCTCGAATTCTCAATCGCTGGCATACTTTCGATACGGAACAGTCGCCTTCATTCTGTGCGTCTTTTCTCTCATAGAGCTTTAAATGCGTGTTTAGGGAACTATTTTAGCGTAGCTAGAATAAAGCGTTTTCGTGAACAAAAGATTCGATCAATCAAAATGCATAGAGTAACTATGCGTGAACGATAGCGATAACGAAACCGCTCAGAGGCAGAGCTCGCATTGGGTGCGTGGGCAACCCCCATTGCAGTACTTCTCATGTACTCTGGTGTGCAAAACTACTACTTGTACAGTGCAGTGCAAAATTACGGGCAGGGTTTAGGCTCAAGACCTACTCAGTGAGCCTTTACTGTGGCTAGGAGCGCTGGGTACGCAAGTGCAGAGGCCGCTTCACTTCCTTACTTTGAAAAACGTTACTTAGTCGCTGGGCGCTAAGAACTTTGACACCCTCCACCAGTTGAGACATGCCCCGCCCACCGATTGACATCTTGTCTGCGTCGCTAATTTGATCTGCTAAGTTCTCTCTACTCGAACGTCTCTAGCGCTCTCCGCGCTCACATTATCTCTTATCTGCCTGCCGGCCTTCTGACCTTCTCCGCAGCATAGAGCAAAGGGCTCGTATTTCCCATGACTTCACTATTTTTTCCTTTTTCTCCACTGGTGGTCCATCTCCTATCCCCTGCTTTCGCATTTGAGTGGAATCATCAGTTTGATTCTGAGTCTTGCCTTTGACGACTAGTTGATAAAATAACACAAATTATTAACTTAATAATGGAATTGAATAAAACCGTGTTAGCACGACGCCAAAGGTCTTGCAGCCATGCACGGTTTTTTACCCTCACATATCGCGGTGCTTCAAATGGGACTCCCCACACAACACGAGGGTTCGATTGAACAGGAAAAAGACAGTGACATGGAGTGATGGTTCTTTATTACAGCAAGTCTACACTGGGTACACTATATTGACTTCATACGAGGTTGAATAATCGGAAAATCATCGGGAAATGGGAAAAGGAAGATTTGTTACGAGCGTTGACCGGAAATTTCTATTGCCCGCAGAATTGCTTTACATGCATGGGGAGCGATATGAATTACAGCCACTGCTGCTCAAAGAAGATGAGTGAGGGATCATGATATGGTAGGTTACGCTAGGCTTTGCAATAGGTAAGGATAGACCCAAGTCCGTCGCCGTATGCAGTTGCAAAAACTTTTAGCCGGATCATAATGCACGTAGTCCCAGCCTAAACAGCGTCACTGTTACAAACGGGGGTGGTCTCTCTATCCTGTGAAGAGTACCTGGTATTCCTTCAAAACCCCCGTGCATCGGCGAGGGCATTTGTTAGGTGCCGAGACATTGGTACCAGCGATTAGCAGGATTGAGTGGTCTTCTAAGTTAAGAGCACAATGAGTTTGAGTGGTGATTCTGAACTCACCAGCACATTACAAAACGTAGGATCACACAATGCGTCTAAGGCCGCCCCGCCATCGAACATGATTGTTTTGATAGTCGAGGCGAAGTGGTGAGGTGTAGTTGCCGTGGCGTGCCTACCTCCAGATTCGTGATCGGGTTACATTTCCCTGTCAACATTGTCATAATAGTGAACTCCTAACTGATGTGTGTCTCTTCGTGGAGCGTTCCACCAACTTAGTTTGTGTGGTGGACAAGCTGCAAGCGCACTCAAAACCAGGGTTGGTAACCGTTGAAACGAGAGGATACTCGGCGATTGGTTAGGCTTGCCCGCAACTCACACTCAAATTCTATCGATCACATGTTGGGTGATATTTTTGAGATATTGCAGCACATCCACATACGCCAATAACTGTCAGAACAAAAAAATGTCGATCGTAGTATCAAGGAATGCAACGCTCCTCCTAAAGAAGTCGTTACCAACCTTTCGTGGCCAGTTGGGAGTACGTGGCAGGACATGTTCTGAAGTCCGTAGCTCTCACACACTCTATTGAAAACAGTGTCCTGTCTGTTAAGGTTTCATACGAATTTGCTTCACCCATCAACCGCTTTGAGCCTATCATAATTGAACGTCCTCATTGCTGTTCTCCCCAGTGCGTGTTTCTGTCAGTAACCCCCTGTAATGTGCTGTAGCAATTCCTTCTAGGTATGCTTCAAATTTCACCGAGCTAGGTTACCTGGCTTAAGGGTCACCCACGCGCACAGTGCGTTGCTTCTCAACATTCTCAGAACTCGTTGCTGAACCTCACATTTCGATTGATTGGAGCCTTTATTCTTTGATATAGTTTCTGGCTTGGCAACACTATACATGCGCGAGGCTGGAAAAGTTTTTTGATAATACGCAACGGAGTCCGCCCAAACTTCTGTATGCTACCACCTCTTGCTGGGTAAGAAGAATTATGTTCAAGTGACGTATGCACTGGTATATCCGTTGGTCCCGTGTTCACTAGACCCTGTAATAATGTTGTTTTCTTCTAGAACTGTACAAGACTGTCAAAAACATGGCAGCAGAGGAACTATAAAACAGAAATTAAACTTCGACTTGAACACGATGAAAATCTAAAAGCATTCACCATAACAATGGGCCATCATTGCCACTGGCACGAACTACGGGTCGCTCGGAAGCTTGTTACACTTAATCGGCGACACGTAGCTTTGTTAGAAAATTTCAGATAGCTCTTATTCGTAGGATTTTTCAGGGTTCTAGTTGTGATCAAGTTAACACGGATACTTCACACCTCATGACATGTGTCCGATGGTTATGTTGTCGTTAAGCGAATTTTCCATCCAATGAAATCCAGGAATATTTCCGGGCTCAACGCCGGTACACACTGGGCTAGAAAACCATCATTTCCGACCACTAGTTCCGTCAGATTAAATGAGTTAACATGTTACAGAATTTTTCTTTCTTGAAGTGTGTCATGTTTGGTGCGCCACCATGGAACTGCATAAAAACACACGCTTTGCAGTTCATGTATGAGGCACCAAAATGCAATGATTTTGCAGCTGTCTCGTTGCTACCGCGCAACGTGAATACGCGAAGAGTTTTCTCGCGTTCCATTTTGAACAGTTCTGTGCCGTCACTTCGCTTGTTGATTTGTTACTATGCTTATGGTGCACCCTGTAGCTAATTTGTTTGAATCCATGATTACAGATGAGTCCTTCGATTCCGATGGCGACCAGAATTCAACGGTGGATCATGTATTCGTCTACGGATTGGGACACGGGTACCTTTTAATGAATTCATGATATTGGGTTGATGGAAAAGTTCATGAAATTTTCACCTCAAAAAATAATATCATTGGGCCTCAATATGTGACACAGCTCCCTTCATGATTACTTATATGTGTAAGGGCGAAACACAACGTTCGATTCTTGAGGCCCAGAAGTTTTGCAGCTGCAAAAAAGTGAACTCACAGTCCCAACATCGAGTACCATTGGATTTTTATTGTCGCGCAAATTAAGCTAGGACAGGAAACCGATAGTAGTCGGACGGCCAACTGTCTCCACAGAATCTCGTAGTTTTGTGCAAACGAAATCACCGACCAATCCCAGCAGTTTTCACTATTATAATAAATTTCATTTACCATCGAAATAGACAGATTCATTTTTGACTCGTGGCAGCCAGTAAAGGACGAGACTGCCTCAAGTTGATAGAGCACATACAAAATCAAGTGGAAGCGCAACATGTAGAGCAATTTTTAGGCCGAAAGCTAGTAGGGATATGCCATTCTTCTGCCATGTGTCAAAAATTTGGAAACTCTTCAGTACCGGCTGGCATTCACAAGTCTTGGATACATAGAATGTATCAGTAATTTGTCAGATAGCTAGATAATCGCTGGCATTTTTTTCTGGTACTGGATCGATTGGAACATCGTTTTGAGCTCTGTTGTGGGGACTTACAGTTTGACATTAGATAAATTCTTCCAGGAGAATTCTTGACTGGAATGTTACGAAGTTCTGTGTCGGCGGCCTTACTCAGTCATAGTCTAGACTTCACTTGACCGCTTCATTACATTACCAGGAAGTGAACTTCGGTAATGAGATGAGAGGTTTGCACCATTCCGTCGTTTCCGGCGGGTTAAGAAAGAACTGCATTCTGAAGAACATCCTGGTATTTGTGCGAGTCGAAAGTTTGCTGGTTAGGAAGAGAGGAAGAAATATTGAATGGGCATACTTTATAAAAAAAAAGTCTAAGTAACATGAACTATCGGGAAGAACTGTTTTTGAACGAACCTCTACAATCTACAATACATATTGAAGTAACTGGGAGCAATTGTGGGGGTTAAAAACAAAATAAGCATAACAGTAATTGATTCTATGGAATAATTATTAGAGCATCAATTTTGTAAAGAAACGTACAAGTTGTGATAGAAATTCATATATGGGCGTGCGAGCGTGTTTGCGTGATTGGCCGAGAAATATTATTGCTATCGCTCACAGTCACTCCAAAACCAGACGTTTACTCCGAGTTACATTCGAAACTTATATGAAGTATTGAATGGCGAAATTTCTTCGAGATTACTTTTATCAAGCTCGCAATTAAGTTTTTGTTGGGGAATAATAGTATTCTATACGATAGTTTATCAATTGTTGTGTATAAAAGGGTCTCTATCTGAGTATGGTTCTATTTTCTTAATTGGTTCAAGAGACGACTGGATTGGCTGCCTGTAAGTGTACGTGACAATTAGGACCCATATCAAAAGATCTACAGGAGTCAAGGAATCGGCCGCCCAAGACTTCAAAGCAACTCAAATATAATATGGCGATGTTGTCCGTTTGGAGAAATACAGTTTTCTCATCATATGAATTTGCTACCTTGGATTCATAACAAAAAAGACGGACGTCGTCCTGATCCAGAGAAAATTGAGGTCGTTCGCCAGACATCTATCTGTACCGCGGAATATTGCCGAATTTCGTTTGTTCCTAGGTATAATCAGTTACTATGGATCATTTGGGGCTGAAATGCGCTAATACGCGCCCCGCTCAATGACCTGCTGAAGAAGAATACTAATTTCTGTTGGACACGCTAATGTGAGGAAGCTTCTCAAGGCGCCAAAAAAGGTGCTTACATCGATTCCGCTTCTGACATATTTCAACCCCGGCCGAAATAATAATTGCTACTGATGCATCGGACAATGGTATAGAGCTCTTATTATTCACAAGATGGCTGATAGGAAAACCTTCGTCGCGCCAGTAGAAGTCTCACCGCTGCCGAACGGAATTATGATCAATTAGAAAAAAGAGGAACTCCATTCAAGTTGCTCACAGATTAGAAGCCGTTGCTGCACATTTTTAGATCCATAAACGTCCACATCACCCTTTCCAATAAGGCAAACGTGACTCTTCGTCAAGCGCTAGCTTCCTTGTCGCCTTCGTCACAAGCTAGTTGGCAACGGGAGCCAACCGGATTGATGTTCCCAGACTCAACAGGCTTCATATTGAGGTCGTTGTTGCCATTTACTATATTCAACAGGTCCTTGCCGGTGTTGAACAGCAGGCACTTCGACTTCCATTCAACTAAGGAAAACCTGACGACGTTTTTCTCGGTTTAGGTTGTCGTGTGAGGAGGTAACCGACCACACTTCCGAATTACAAGAAGAGCTAGTATTTTCGTAAAGCTGTTTTTGGGTGCTGGATTTTCTCTCTGTTCAACCTCAACTGTATTAATGCTAGAAAACCGATAGGAGCACCCTCATCTAAAACAAATTACAATAAACAAATTCAACAACACAATAAGTAAATTCGAGACGACTTTTTTAGATTTTGGGCTGTATTTTTCTCGTGAAATGTTTATGCTGTAGAATTGTTGTTCTTCTTTCTATTCACATTACTTTTGCATCCACGTAAACAACAGTTCAGCTGAAAATTAACAAAAACGTGCAGGCATAGAGAGCAGGAGTTTTAATGATGAAGCAGACAACCTTCTAACTTTTGGCGCCTATTTTTGACAAAAAAACGGATTTTTCTTCGCGGTTCTTGGTTAAGGTAAAGAATGTTGCACATGGTATATTTCACTTAACCTCGTATTAATCTGTGGAGTCGAGGCAATATCGTTGTTTACTGGCCGCGCGAGGTAAAAATTACAAATCTCAGCCTTCGAGCAATGATATCCAATTTGATCTCAGGGTCTACTCTCCTCCTTCGTCACCAACAACTAACGTTCCATCTCCACAGAAACCAGATTTGATAAAATCGTTCACCGAAATGGATCCTTGCTCAGGTAAATTTTTTAATTGAAAATTCCTATTATCATTATTTTATTCAATGGTAAGGGTAAATAGCTTCGCTTGCTTGAAATGGATTAAGTAATGGGTTTCAGCAAATTTGGTGAAAGTAGGTGGCTGTATGTAGTGTACAAGGTGATGATCGATTGCAGGACCGATTATTCATACGTAGAGAAATTCTAGCTCTCTGCAGCCATGTCAGCACTGTAATACAAATATGTCAACATATGCGCTATTTTCGTGGGAAATTCCTGATGTGATTGTCTTCGTAGAGGTTGCAGATTACTCATGTCCAAAAATTCACGAGTATGTGGATTATGGCGCGAAACGGAACAGTGTGGTTTGAAAGAGTGAGAAATGCTTACTGGTGTTGAAGGAAGTAGCAGTGATGCAGCGTTGGAAACAGATGCCTGTTTTAAAGGCAGTGCGTGCGATGGCGGGAGGCTGAGCTTATTCGGAGGCGTCACTAGTGGAAGGAAGGGCGTTGAAGGTTGTCCGACCACAAACACCACGGCGATAGGGGATGCGCTTGAAGCACCTTCCAGCGCCCTTCTACCAGCAATGAGTGCTTGAGTGGAGCTTTTATTAGGTTGCTGCATTATAAATGTCCAGAGGTACCTGAGCATTCATTTGAAAGAGGAAATCTAGGAGTATAAAAGCGACTACTCATTGCCCATATCATTTTGTTTTTTACATAAGTTTTCTTTTTTTGAAGGACGGCTGACCGGAATTTACGTCGTAACCGTGGATGTTCTATGACATCTTGAGGGGATGAATTTAGCTTACGCGGTCACGGCAGATCCTCGAAAACAAAAATCCACCTACATCAAACCGTGCACTGGCTCGGCGAAAAAGGAGAAGAACGATCTCATAAACTCGCTTCACGACGAAACAGCTGCATTTCACGAAAAAATCACCAGCAAAAAAGTGCAAGACGAGGCTGAAACATTTCAGTTCACCTCCAAACAGCTCTGGTCACACCGCAACTATGTGCTGTGCATCCGCGTCAAGCGGCACGTTTCGAAGGAGAAACGGTTCAGAGAGTACAGAAAATTGGAATTTGGGTGTCTTTGTTTAGCTGCGCACAGCTACTACAATTCTTCACGAAGGACGTCGAGTCTCTGCGTGAGTAATGGCGAAGCCCGGCACAATAAGGTAGTACTCATCACTCCATCTGAGATGCCGAAGTGTTGCTCTCCCAACAAATTTTGTGGCACGTGCAAAAGCGACATTTGTAATGCAACAACCTAATATATACAGGGTGGCGAAAGATTATGTGCGCCATAAAACACGTTCAAACTTTATTTGTTGACCACAAGAACTCGAAAGTTATTGATTTATAGAACAACAGACAATGACATTTTATAACTGTAAAAAAGATTTGGAGTAGCTGCCAGCAATTATGATACAGGCCTCAATTTGTTCCTTCACCCAGTCAATTATGTGGCGGAGGTGTTCAACGCAAATTTCATTCCGAATTTTGGCAGTTCTTTTCACAACCAACAAACTTTTTGCGTTTTGATTCCTTGGTGCTTCTTCAATAAAATCCCAAACGGAGAAGTCTAGTGGATCTGAATTCGGACTGCGAGCAGACCATGAAGGTACGACACTGTCGCGACGCAAAAGTGCGAGGCACGGCGCTAAGATCGTTAGGCAAGGAGTGCAATGAGGAATAGGGGTGAGGGAGAACGCGAGATAGTACGTCATACGCGAGAGGGCGCAGACCGCGTATGCCGTTGTCAGTAAGGATGTAGCACGGCAGCACACAAGGCACGATCCTAGCGCCTTTGCCTCGCACTTTTAGTCGCGACAGTGTCGTACCTCCCGCCGTTGAAAATTCTCGTTACCACTCTACGAGGAACTGGCTCTTGGAACCTAATCTCGATTCATGGCTTTGATACACTGGTGTGAAAACCTAATTACGGACGTAGTTTTTCCATGACGTGTTACGGGCGAGTAACATAACTCTATAGGACCTAACCATATATAAAAGGAGCTGCTACGAAGCGTTACAGAAAGCAATCAAAAGGAATCAACAAACGGTCCAAAAATCTATCAATAAGTATGTTACTTCATCTGTCTCGTCCCTACGTTTTGCACACCAGTGTGTAGTGTAGTATAGTAGTGTAGTTATTTGTGTCGTACTCCTTCCACGCATGAAAGCACAATGTTTCAATTCTGAGCTCAAAATTTAGTGCAGAAAATTGAGTTCTCGTCAGGAAACAGGTCTTCGAAAACCACGCTTCGCAGACACAGTCAAACACCTGGGCAGAGCCATGACGGCGCACGGGACGAAGTATGTACGTGGTTGGGGCGCCAGCTTCCAACAAATTGTGCTTCGTCGAAAGGAACTTGATCCAATCTTCGGAAATCGCAAAACGCTGAAACGCGCGATAGATGAAATGAAGTAGAAGAGTAAGTCATCACCATCCCCCCATAATTTTCATGTCGACGCATTGTAACTCCAGTTCTCCCTACTCCAAGCCGCTGCTGCTGTCGCATATGGTTGGAGCAGACAGTACTCTTGTTTTCGCCAATGGCCGCATGCCACGGCCCATCGGTGCCGCTGAGCGACGAGAACTACATGTACACATGTCCACCCGCTGAAATCGTGCGGTACCTATTCACCACATTTCCAATACATACCTGTCAAACATCTGAAGAGCCCAGAGGATGGGCTTCTGGAAGCACTCAAGACCCTCCGTCAGCTTGCATGACCGTTGCCCAGAATCACCTTTGATTACAGCGGTGGCGAGGCCAAAATGGGCAGTAGTCGTGTGTTGCGTCGGAAAGATCAAAGTGTTTGCTGCGGAGCGATCGAATCAAGCCGAAACCGCCACGTGAGAGAACGTGCCTAGTCCTATTCCGGGACTGTTCTGAGTGTCTCTCATGGGCAGATCTCTTTAGGCGAAGCTCTCACAGAATGAGCGCTCGGAGTGTCTCGCAGGAAAAGTTGATTTAGTGCGATGCATAGTTATTGGGAAAGCTGATTTGAGCACCATATGCAGCACAGACCACTCCTACTATATATCACCCATGGAAAATTCCAGAGCATTCGGGAGGAATCCAGAAAGAGCGCGAATTGAGTGTCTCAGAATTTTCTTTCCAATCTGATATCTGGGCGCAGTTTCTTTATGGAAAACTCAGATCGTACAGGCCCATCGAGAAGGCATTACGCTTTCGCTAAGCATGTCCACAGGGTTGCGCATGAGTTGGCAGAACTAAGGATTTGTTGGGTTAAGTTGTTACCCAAGATGCCTTTAGATGTACTTCTGAAATAGAGCGCATTATCAAATTTTCCGATATGAAATGGTTGCAGCATATGTCGATCTCCGAAACAGAATATACTTCAGTTTCATAGCGTGCGAAATTCGACCAAGTAGGTAACGAGCCATGAAAGCTCTATCCTAACTAATAGCAGCTTCTTCAAAAGAAGGAATTTTTTTCTAGGACGCACTGCAATAAAGTCCAGTTACTTTAACAGTAAAGCTACCAACGTGGAGGTGTATGTTGAAACTAGAAAAAAACTGCGTTTTTGTAATGATTCTTGCAACGTACCCAGACGGCAATAAATGCACAACGTGACACTCCTTTGGCGCTGAACTTCTTCCACCAGCTTTTAGGACGAAAACTTTCTAGGTGTACTTGTATGTAGTTCCGATTATGGATACTACTTCCGTTACAAAGAATAATGCAGGACAGTGGAGTTTGGATAAAGCTTACATAATGACAGCATGCTTTCGCGCGCATATCATTCCTTTCCAATACGCAGGACATTTGCGCTGTCAGCAGCTCAGATTCATAATACATACTTGATGGGTTATGAAACCAACGGCTGCTATGCTTAGGAAACACAGCAAACGGTGTCTCCAAGCGGTTTTTCGATGACTATCAACCCATTTTTCGGGATTCAAAGCAATTGTCCCAGCAAGATTTCCACCTTCGAAACTAATGGTGTGGAGCGATGCGGTAGCCCTAGTCAAGAATATAATAAGTGTGATTGAACAAAAAAACCTTGGAAAGTCGCTACAAAGGAAGCTGAACTGCGAAAAAGTTGCGAATCAGCGGAGAGGATTGAACCGGCTCGCAACCACGCCCTCTTCGACGTTCAATTCCCTTTCTAGCGGCTTTCTAAGGTGAGTTTTTTGTTCGGTCATACTTTTTATGTTCATGACTAGGGTTACCGCATCGTTCCACACCATTAGTGTCGAAGGTATAAACCCTGCTGGGACTGTTGCTTTAATTAAAAGAATTGTAGAGCATGTGGAAGCGATACGGCTGATACCATGATTGGGAGGTGAGGATTGATTGGCGGGAGCCAGCCTATGTGAAACTCGTGGTTATGTTTTCCCAGGCAAGTATGGTGCCGACTAGCCAGGCACGTATAGCAGAATGGATCGGATGTTGTCGGTTAGGATTCGATCAGTAACTAACTCCAGAGCCTACATAGTAAGCGGCGTCACTCAATAACACCCTCCCCAAAGATGTTATTGAACTTTGCCCAAGCTGGCTTCAGTGATGACATAGCTACTGAAGGCTCTCTGTAATTCACAATGTACGAAGCAGCTTGAAAATGTATCCGCTTAGCAAAGAAGATATAATGGTGGGAAATTACTGTGTCAGTGAAGTTAAAAAGATGATGGTTTGATTTCAGTCATAGTGTCACTACACAATGCAATTACCATGCAAAATCGAGAAGCTGGTGTTCGTTATGTATGCAGTCCTGCCCACCGGTGGCGCCAGTGCTGTGCGCATTGTGTGGAGATTCTGATTGCTCGACTTCTTCTTTTTCTCACCCATTTCAGGTATAACAAATGACAAGTCTTGCTATTTTTTGATTCTTGTTATGCAGAAACACAGCAAGTTGTTTCAACAAAAGATTTACTTACTTAGATACTTGGACGACTCCTCCATCAGCACGAGATTGGCCTTGTGCGGGTCCCCACTTTTTCACTGTTCTTGATCTTGAGCCCTGCTTGTCCAATGCCCCGTCGATAACTTTAATGATTCTGGATCATAGACGTTCTTTCAATGCCCAACAGAATCTGCACACCGTAAGGGAGGTAGGCCTTGCGGCCACTTCTTCTCGCGCGAGTATCATTGCATGTTGCCGAACTACATCGTCTGCCACATCTCCTCTTAAGGTGTCCGGCGAATCCGTGTTTCGTTCACGTGAAGTAGAAAGTTCTTCACAGTTGACATGGCTCTGACGTCAAAAATATGAAGTCTCAATTCTTGTTGGTGACTCAAGATTAGACCCAGAAGATGCCGTTCAGTATATGCCTCTGTGAATATAGATTGCCTCTCCAGGGATTTCGCTAGAGCCCAGGTTTCTAATGCATACCTGAGAACAGACAACATCGTCGAATTAACCCTTTACGATAATGGCACCAAGCGATGGGTGCCATGTTCTTCGCATGGGATAATGGCATCCAATGGTGGGTGCCACCTCAAAATTTCTTTCTTTGCGCATTTAAAACATTTGTAACACTCCAATAATTACACGCAAGTTTCATTATTAGGCAAAAGGTTAACTACCAATTAGGAGTTCTTCGACTTCTCATAGCCTTCAGATGAGGTTTAAAATGTATAGAAGATTTTCTTGGACACCGAAACTTTCTGAAGTTTTGCCCCCTCCCACTTCAAAACTCGAGTTCCCTTACAAAGAATTTTCTTGAAAGTAACATACAGTATCAAAGCCTGAGATTACAGTTTGATCTAGTATACTGCTGAATTCAAAAATTCTATAGAAAAACTGCTTTGAGGGACAATTTTGCTCAATTGTGAGCGAGAGTTGGGCGCGCCAAAAAGAGGCGTGGTCCCATGAGCAAGCTACGTGCAGATCCGCATTGTCGTCAAAGGGGTAAAAAAAGTTTGCTCTGATTCTGGAACTCTTGGTGTTCTCTGTAATGTTTCTTATGGAGTTGAATGCAGCCCGTACCTTTGCGACGTTTTGCTGGCTCTATAGTCGGGTCATTTCTCGTATTAAGCTGGCTCTCGAGGTACTCGTTCTCATCAGCTTTGCTTCAACAACGCGGAGGTCCTGCGTTGGGATGGGTTTCGTACCACTTTGATATTATAGGTACTGATGGTGAAACCGCAGTGGCTCCTTTGCTCCTAGACGATGCAGCATCTCAGTGTGTACTGGAGAGTCAGTGATCAACGCTATGTCGTTGGCCACCTTTCAGAGTACAGTACAGTAAGATAGCGCGATACATCGCTCTATCTTCTTTGTCATCATTCTTGAACAGCAACACGGTAGGGGATTACTACCGCGCCATTTGAACCATATACGGAGTCCGGTAGTCAAGTGAACCTCCCTGCAACTGCTTGACGGAAAGAAGGCCCTATGACTGCAGGGGCTCTACGGTTATGCCTCTCTTCCCCGCCGTTTTGCCTCAGGCATTGTTTCCACTGCATGGCGCACTCAGATGATAGGAGAGGCAGCACTTTCCTTAGAATTGGTCTTCTTTTCCTAGCGAGGGAACTTCTGATCTGAACAGGGCGTAGTAGGATTTGGCCACGATTGTTCTTTTCTTTTCAATTTCCGCCTGTTCTGTGCTTTGTCTAGATTCTTCCACATTTAGTGTAATCTTCAGCAATGCGCTGCCTACAGAACCCATGCAGCGACTCTTCGTGGTTTTCTTGCCAGTCCGTCTTCCTTCGCTTTTCAAGTAGAGCACGACTAGGTGCAGGGATGGTACGGGATTTTCGGTTGGGGGCAGCATTGCGGCAACAGTCTGCGAATACCACTGTGTGGACGGATTCTGGTACTCGGCGTTTGTGCCATCCACCACTTCATACTGCTCTTCATTTGCAAAGCACGAATCATGTTGGCCACACAGTTTACATATGTTTTCTGTGACTTGCTACGGTTGAGCGTTTCAGCGAGTGCTTTCAGCAAGCGCACTCTCAGTGAATATCAAAGAGAAAAGTATCACTTTTCCATAATTGGCACTTCATTACAGGCAATTTCGTTCGCGACTATCTGAGCGACATCAGCTTCGAAGCCTTGTGGCTCTTCTGGAGCCAACGTTAGAGCCGGTTTGAATGCTTCGATTAATTTTTTTGAATTCTACTCATCCAACTTTCTTTAAGCAACTCTTATGTCTACTTCTTCAATGTATAGCATTAATTGCTCTTGACCCTTCTACGCATGCGACATTTGTTGACGTGCAAATCGACGATGTTCTTATTCAAATGCTCCTGCCGGCCGATGATTGGTGGGTTGCAAAATCCCATTGATAGATTCTTAAGCATCACCCATGAGAAATAATGTTCACAATTTCTCTTACGTTTCATAGGAATGCCACTCACATAAGTCGCAGAAAATCAATAATTTGTTACGATCAGAGCACAAAGAAACCCACGGGCACGTCTGTCCGCGGGCAGGCTCGCACGCATACGCTAGCAAGTTTTGCTTGTCTCGAATATTTTATACATAAAACGTGGTCAGATTATCTTCCTTTGTGCGGTCCGGCGGGGCCTACTTGAGTCTGTAGAGCGGGGTTACTGCATTTTAAAAGAATCCTTTCCAAAAATCTCTCATTCTCTTTCAACACGGATATGTCAGTTGTGACAACTAGAGAAAAAATACAAAGTAATACGTACAAGGATTCAGTTTTCGAAGAGAAGCAAATCGCACTCTATGGACAATCGAAGGTAAGTGGTGCGGAGCCAAAGGCGAGGAATGGAAAAAAAGCCCGCCTTGGGGCTTCTTTGTATCAAGTGTCGCAATGGAAAAATCGGGTTGAAGTGTGCGATTTGGGACAGAGACAAATCGATCGGTAGAATAGATGCATTAGAGATGAGATGTCAGTACACTAAGTAATAGCTCGAAAAATTTCTTAGTGACGGCATTCCAAGATAGTGGAAGCGTTCCCGCCGCTAGCATTTGTGACAGTGCCCGGCGGTACTTTGAACGCATAGCAGCGCTTTCAGTTTTTTGAATTTTATGAGGATAAATGTATATTATTGTTCTTTTCGTTCTTATCGTTAACGGCATGTCCCAAGCCAGTGTCCGAGAAGGATTCCTCAAAAGTAACAACCACAGATCAAGCTCGTCGCGCAACAGCGGTCGGTAATGAAATTGTAGATGCCGAGTCGACAGATAAAGGAAAAAGAACCAAAGCAAACCACTAATGAAGCCAATAACAAATATTCCCTCTCTTCCCTCTTGAAATGAAGGAGAGGCGTTTCGGACGAGTTGTCTAAATTGCTTGTTCCATGGCTCCATTAACCTGTGCATATGTGAATTGACCGGTTGTAATCCGCGTACGTAGTAGTGTTCATAGGGTATACAGGGTGGCCGTAAAGTATGGGACGCCATGTTTTTGTGTGTAAAAGCCAAGAAAGAGACAGGTAGCCAACGAAGATGTCGTCCCACCTCTTCTGAAGCACTAACCTCAGAGCACCCACCGAGCTGGAGAAGTCTTATGAGGTCCTGCTCTACAACGTCATCACACAGAGGAGTCCATCGGGTTGAGGGCCTGATAGGAAGAAGGTCACAATTCCTCTCTCCAGAGGCGCGAAAAGTGAGCGCTCAGGGTGGCTTTAGTCAATTGGAAGCATATTAGCTAGCACAGCTTCACTGAAGAGCAAGCGATCATTGAATAAAATGCTCGCAAATGCAGAACAACATACCCTACCTCATTAAAGTCGTTTGCGAGACCTTCGAGCTAATCTTAACATTTGTTGAATTTGAACTCCAATGGATCTGCAATTTTGGATTTCACCCCGTTACAAACTACCACATCTTCGGGAGAATGTCTGTTGTAAAATAGAGGTTATCTCGGAAACTTGATCTCACTTTCTGGCAACAACTGCCTCTGTTTCCGGTGGTCGCGAAGAAGTTTAGTTCGAAAATTCCTAATCAACCCAATCCGTAGGAGAAATGCGGCGCAACTCGAGCTCGTGCAGAAACACTTCGCACTTCATCAGTTGAATCTATTCGGATTGCTCCAATAAAAGCCAGCATAGAAAGAGTCGGTTAGCTCTTCAAATAGTGGCTGTTCCCAAGATTTTCTGGAAGGGGTGATGGCAGATCCTGAGATCAAAAGCGATGCGACTCATGCTGGTTTCATCATTGTGAGCCATCCTCTTCTAAGTGATTGCCCTAATCTTCCGAGTGTCACAGTTCTTGAACTTCCACTTTTCGCAATCCCAGAGACGTGTGCTTGAAACTTAAGAGCACCGAACATGTTCCCAAGAGTTGATGAGGGATTACTGAGTCGCTTTCCAAAGTTGCAATTTCAGAGACCGTCATTGGGCAGCCTCTTGGTAATGGTATCAATGCAAAAAAAAATCTCCGAACCTTCAGGGTTCATAGGAACATTTATACCATACAAGTAATAGTGCTTCTCACATAGTTTCAAAGCGTTCGAAGAGTTTCGAAACACTCTGCAAATACTCCATGGCTCACAGTCAGTGCCAGCAAGCGGTCAAAGCCGCGTCCTATACTTTTCGGCCACCCTGTACAAGGTTTATCTCGTTTGCATGTACCAGTACTGCTTGCTCGCGTCGGTCAGAATGAACCATTTTCTATCCCGAAAGGTCTCACCAGTCGCACGTGGAAACTGTTCAATTTTAATGTTTACACATTCAAATCTCCCTGGAGTTTTTGTGTATTTTGGCGAAGGCTCAATTCGTTGACTTTCTTTAGTGCTTCTTTTCTACATTTACAGGCCAGTATCCAGGCCCTCCGTCACCAATACTTTTAGCTCAGTTCTGGAAACGCTGAAAACGTTTGTCATACTCCTGACTTTTAAGGTACTATACAAATCACAGCACTAAATACGGCGTGTTTGTCAAGTATCATGCAGCGCGGATCTTGGTATACGTCGGCATGGGGGATCGTGTCGGCAGTCGTGTCAATCTGTTTACGATTACTTGTGAGAAATTTCATTAGATGTTCCTATTATATGTTTGGTCTATTCCACTGTTGGTGATACAGCTTCTGAAATTGGTCAAGAAGCTAAGAAGCAATCAGCGCTGCCGAATGAAGACGATTACATATGCGACACTTGCTCAACTCCTCGTAACATGAGCACTTTCTCGCGATCTGCCATGTCTGTGGAAGGTGTCCTTCTCAAAGTGCTTACTGAAGTGGCACAAGTTAGTTGCCCAATCTTTCATAACCTTCAGCTGTAAGAGCAAGCACTGCGATATTTCAGCTCACAAAGCAATCAAATCACATTTCAACAACTGAGCCGATAACTGAAGAGTCACCAGTCGCTAGTTCGCCTCCGAGGTTCCTCGGTGATGAGGACAAGGAAAAAAATGTGAGAAAATGAATTATTTTCACGACACAGTGATGACGACCTTTGTTTCCCAACCTCTCTTTCTATTCATACAAGCTTACCTAGATACACGAGAAGATTGAGGAAAGACTGACTCGACTGGAATGTCAAGTGATCGTCTCTCTGGAACAGCTTGAAGCTCATCTCAGCAAACTAGGCCTCATGCTTGATTCTGTTCTGCTTCTCAGGCTCCTTCTTCATAAAATCTCTTGGGATCTAGGTTTGCAAATATTTCATTCCAAGTTCTTAAAACACCTTTTCTTTAGATATATTTTCTTGAAGGGCTAGTGACGAAGAAGAGAGTGGCAGTAAATGATAACATGCACAAAGCAATTACTGATCCTCGCGCTCATTCGGCTTGCAGCCTTGGAAATAACATATCGTGAGAAATCGTTCGAGAACTGCTTGGTGCCAAGTAGCTTCGTTCATATAAAATTCCAGATGTTTTGGAAAATCAAAATCATTCGATCGCCGTGACGAGAGCAAACGAGACAAAAATTATCTACATGTAGACAACGGACCACGATCATCTGGACGATTCCGAATTCGTAGATCCAGGTATCCATGTTTCACTAGAGCACCAAGGTTATCACTTCGCTTCTTGGGGCCACGTTTAGCGTTCGCTAACATCCCTTTGTTCCTACTCATTCTTTCTCATACGTTCTATAATTTTTGCAGCAATCTCAGTCAGTCCGAGTTTGGTACTGATCTTTTATATACGCGCATTAGCTCGAACGAAAACCTTACGTAATTAATGCCGGGAGCCAAAAAATGACGTTATTTTCCCACTAATTTGTCAAATAACGCTTTGCTGAGAAACGTATGTGACCTGCTAGACAATTAAGTCCGTCTATGAGGTCGGAATTCTGTTCGAACAAAACCTAGGGGTGGCTATCCCCTGAATTACGGCAATCATTTTTGGTGGTGGTCACCTTCCCTTACAACGATGTTCTTTGTGCACTGCAATGCGATCCATATGTGTGTCACGTGTAAGAATCCAATTTTTAGGGCAACTACGTAAGAAAGTAATCAGTAGACCGACAAGCTACCTGCAACCATTGAGCAGTCTCCATATACCTTGCCAACCCATTCTTCCGAGCCCCACAGCTGGAAGTGAATGGGAAGATTTGATGATCAGTTCTAATCAGACACCCAATTTGATTGTGCGTCTACATGATACTTGTGTCGCGCACTAGGTTTCCAGTACATAGATGCAGGACTGGTTCGATAAAGAATGGAAACCCAGAGCCCGTTCGAAACTACCATCTGTCCTTGCGTCTCTGCAGAGCCGATATGTAGCGGTCAAAAGTTTGGAAACTTTTTTATCTTTGATCTAGCGCGATCGACACGTAACGAAATTGTCTCAAATTCATATATCATATACAAAATTGAGTCTAGAATAAGATAGGCAAAATGGATTCCAAATATCCAAAATTATATTCAAGATATAAAATTTTTTTCGAGTAACGGCGCGTCAAAAGTTTGGAAACTTTTTGTTTCCCCATCATTATAAATCCTACTCTTCAGTGTTTACTTGCTTCTATTATTTTTAGTTCAACCACTGAGTAGTTTGTAATTTCAAAATGAATTCCCACAGTAGATATTTTTTAAACCTTACAGTCTGGAATACGAAATCGAAATTGATCCTCTTCAGTTAAATCTTCACGGAAGCATCATTATCTAGAGTTTTTAGCCTTATTGAAGTTGAGCAGGTATAAGGAGAATAGTATTCCACAAAAAACATCCTCACAAGAAAATTAACCGTTCTCGCAGGTTTTGAAGGGTGGTTGGCACGTCTCTTCTCCCGGCGTCCCCAAACAAGGAAGCTTTTACGATTTTTTTTTCTAATCATATGAAAGTCCAAGTGCAACACAACATTGGCGGCGACCTGAGGAATATTATGGAAGGTGTCCCAACAGAATGCCATTGTTGGGCTTTAAGAGCAGGATGACCCAACTAGCTTTCACACATTCGCGGCTTACCTGGATGGAAGGCAAGAAGTAAAAATTCGTGCTCAGCGATGAGTCGAATTTCTGCTTTTTTGGAAATGATGTAGAGAACCTTTTGCAGTGATCTGCTGACAGGAAACCTCATCTTAGGTATCAGATCCCAACAATCGAAAATAGTGGAAGTAGAGTGGTAGGTGAGTATGTTGCGGCTATTCGGCGATTCCCTAGTTCTAAGTGTTCAGCGAAATGTGGGCTGTAATAAATACAAGGATAGTCTGAGGAATACAATGCATCCCTTCGAGAGTCATAACTAGCCGGACAAGATGGGTT